AAACACAGCTATGTGTGAGAAATACCCAAATCTTAGTACCTATGGGAATGAAAACCAGAGAAAGCAGTAAGGCTGTTTCCCATGAAAAGAATTTAATGCATAAGAGGTAAGATGTTCAAAGGACAGACACCAAATAAACTTTGCATTTCATATAGCATCTTATTACACTGAAATATCTTAAAGTTCTTTAACGTTTTCTGTAAAAAGTGTAGTGACTGTTTTTGGAGGCAAAATGTAGCAGACAATTTGCACACACCAATGTCCCACAAGCAGTCAGGAGATAAATGGCTAACTTTAGCTAGAGGAATGTTGGCCAGAAAACCAGTTGAAACTCCTTTCTCTTTTCAAATATTGCCACGGGATCTTTAAAGTTTACCAGAACCAACAGATGAGAAAATCATTCGAGAAGTCTATCCTCAAGATAACAAAGGCATGAGTTTTTTCATAAGTTTTTGAGCAGGGGTGAGGGCATAAGCAAGCAGGGTTCTGCACGGAAACTGCTCTGGTCAAGGTCACAAACAACATCCTGACCATGTGTGACCAGAGCTCCCTCTACCTCCTCGACCTCTCCACCACCTTTGACTCCGTGGACCACTCAATCCTCCTCCACCACTTCTCCTCCCACCTCAACCTTCAAGGATCTGTCCTTGACTGGTTCAGGTCCTATCTTTCACACACCGCCTACACTTCGTTGCGGCAAACGGCTTCGCCTCCAGTCCCTGCACCGTCTTGTGCGGTGTTCCTCAGGGCTCTGTCCTCGGTCTCCTCCTCTTCACCCTCTACATGCTCCCCCTTGGTAACATCATCCGCAGACATGGGGTAAATTTCCACATGTATGCAGATGCCACCCAACTCTATCTCTCTGCCTCCACCCTCAACTCCAGGACTTCTGGCGTCCTGACCGACTGCCTGTCCGACATCAAGTCCTGGATGAGGGACAACTTTCTCCAACTCACTGTCAGCAAGACCGAGGCCTTCCTGATTGGCTCGCGCCAGCACCTCCGCACCTTGGGCACTGGCAACATCAGCCTCCACGGCTACACACCCAACCTCACTGAGCCAGTCAGGAACCTGGGTATCCTGTTTGACCCTGAACTGTCCTCTCTCCCCCACATCCGTGCCATGACCGGCACTGCCTACTACCACCTCCGCAACATTGCCAGACTCCCCCACTGCCTCACCCCTCAGGCTGCCGAAACCCTCACCCACACATTCGTCACATCAAGGCTCAATTACAGGAACTTCCTCCTCATTTACCTTCCCAACTCTTCCCTTCACAAGCTGCAGATCATCCAAAACTCTGCAGCTTGTGTACTCTCACGCACCAGGCTCTGTGACCCCATCACTTCCACCCTCGCCCGACTCCACTGGCTCCCCATTCCCCAGAGGATCGAGTTCAAGATCCTCGTCCTCACCTTTTAAGGCCATCCATGGCCTTGCCCCCTCCTACCTCTGACCTGCTGACTCCCTACCAACCTGCCCGCTCCCTCCGTTCAGCGGGCTCCGGCCTGCTCTATGTCTCCCACCTGACCCGCCCTACCATCGGTGGCCGGGCTTTCAGCCTCTCTGCCCGCATACTCTGGAACTCCATCCCACGGTCCCTTCAACTCGCTTCCTCCCTTGCCTCCTTCAAGGTCGGTCTCAAGACCCTTCTCTTCGACCGTGCCTTTGGTCTCGCTCCCACCTCTCTGCCTTCCCTCACCCCTAACCCACCCCTCCCCCATGCTCGGGCCCCGACACCTGACTGTTCAGCGCTTTGGGACGTCCTCCCGACATGAAAGGCCTCTATAAATGTAATTTTGTTGTTGTTGTTGCTGTAGGTGGAAGAATTTGGTCTTCGTGATGGACTGGGCTTGAAGCACAGCTGAGGGGTCAAGAAGACCATCAAGATTACACACTGATTGATTCTTTTTGAGCAAACTGCCAGGAAGGTTGATAAGAGTCTGTGCTGGAGGAACTGAACAAAATAACTACATCTTCTTGATATTCAACTGAAGTAAATGAAGACCAGGACATAACAAACTGGCAGTTGGTCAGAATAGCAAAGGTGATGTTGAGACACCCATTATGATGTTGAAAGCATGATCTCTGAATGAAACTTCAGCTTGAAATTGTAGGTTTTGTTGGTCAATGGTTTTCTAGAAGTCAATACAATGACAACTCTGTTCGCAAGAAACCTTTGCTTAACAATCAACTCTTGTCAATTGACAAGCAATCACAAGAAGGTTTGCTTGATCTGGATACAGAATCCGACTAAATATCTGCGAAGATAATTCTTTGCTATGGGCACTGAGATAAGACAAGGACTGTACAAATTCAGGATGTTGCAGATCATCATTCTGAAGCTACATATAGCATTATCACCTTTATCCCTCGGGAAGAGAAAATAAATGTCTAGAGGAGCATTGATTTCCAAGAGCATAAAAAGTAAATTGTCATCTACTTGACCCCAGTGTTTGATCAGAAATAGGGAAGTGAATATTTTGACAGAATACCATTTGACATAATCCAAATATTGAAAGTCCAGTGTGAATCTTGAAACCCTGCTAAAAGGTCAGGCTGCTCTGTGTCTGGTACAGTTGGTGATAATCTCTTTAGAACGAAGATCATAACCCGACCTCCCGCAAGCTAGTGCTGGGCAGACACCACTGGCTCCACATGATTGGCATATGTATGGGTATGTCACTATGACTGCACCTTCTGTGCTTTCCATGGACCAATCAATACTAATTAAGTGATTGTGGATGGGATGGAAGACATTAATAATCCTTGTATTTGATATAAAGCTTGATTAAGTTGAAACATTTCAAAGCATTTCAGAGTTTTCTGTAAAGTGTAGCAATTGTGTAAACGTAAAATAGTTAATGATTTATCTGGGGGATTTCTAGCCAGAAGACACCATGAGAAACTCCCCTCTCTTTTGAAAAGTCATTCCATCTTTCACATCCAGCTGAACAGACAGCACTTTGAATCATACAGTATTCCCCCAGCAATGCAGTAGAATGTCAACCTAGGCTATAAGCTCGATCTGGGGCTTGAACCCAAATCTTCTGACTCAGAGGTGAGAGGGCTTGCAACTGAGTGAGGCTGATACCTGGATTGGTGAGTTGGACCGGCTAATACTGGTTAGAAATTTACCATAAAGATGTAAAATTACCACAAAGACGAGGGAGATTTCACTCCAGATTTTCTTCTTTATCATTACAAAACCACTTGGAATCACTGGCAATCACCCCAACGGTTACAGGCCAAAACCCAATGACAAATTGAATATTTTTAAATAGGTATTACCAATGTGTTCAATGTAAAAGCAGCACAGCCACTTTCTAATGCCTTTTTTCCAACAGTAAGTAGCGCTTGAACCCTAAACGGTCAATAATTTAGTTAATAATAATCCTTGCATTTGATCTAGTGCCTTATCACAGCTTCAATAAGTCAAGGAATATACAGTAAAGTGAATTGAATATTGCAGAGATAAGCATGCCATGCAAAATGTTCAACAATCCATAGAAACAGAAAAACAATTGGGAAACTTATGGCAAAAATGGAAAACAGTAGAAGGTTTGAAGGAATCAACTGATACAAAGATGAGAAAACTTCACAGGAAAAAGGTGTTGAAAAAAATAATTGGCACTTAGTTGAAATGCACTATTTATAGTGAGCAGGAGCCATATGGACAATGTCTCCTGAATTATGTTACGACATCTTAAAGCAGTGCAAGCCATGTGATAATTATTCTACCCCTGGCAAAACATTTGTTCTAATTTCTTTAAGCTATGTGTAGGATACCAAGAGTGTACCAAAGTGGAGATTTCATGCAGTCTGAGGATGGTGGCGTCACTGTGTCATGCTTAAGAAATATGGTGCAATACTTCAGACATCTGCCATTACAAAATGATACCAGGGAACATTTAATAAGAAATTTCAGATAGCATTAATCTAAGATAATAATCCCTCCAAAAACAAAACAATGATAAATTGGTCATTTTCAATCCACGACTGTTTGTGGGACACTGCTGTGCACAATTGGCTGCCGCATTTCGCCCACAAATCTACAGTCAATTCACTTTACAGCATATTCTGTGAAGCTCTTTGAGACGTCGAGAAGACTTGAAAAGTGCTATATAAAATGCAAGGATTATTATTATTAAGATTATTTTTGGTAATAAAATGAGAGATTACTTACATACACGCAGAATGTGGAATGTGTTGCTAAGAAATTAGCTTACAAACTGATAAATCTGTTTGTGCCTGGTTTGAGATTTTAAGAAATCATGCACAGAGCCTTCTTTCAATCACATTGCATAAAGATAACTTAATTATAATATACACAGTGTGTGTGATATATATATCAGCACTTTATATATATCACACACAGTAAACTCCTGATAACTCAACCCTAGCTTAACTTGTCTCTACCATTTAAGTCATCATGCTGTCAACATCCCCCCAAATATTGCTGTGCTATCACAATATAATTACATTCAGTAATTTAATTTGCCATACCGAATAATTAGTCACTGAGCCCTTTTCCCTTGGAGTGACAAGTTATCAGGAGTTTACTGTATAACTTCCATACATTGACCTTTTCTAACCATGCATCCTTATGATGTTTCTCAATCTCATGGATCCTGTAATGTGTTCCAAGAAACCATAAAAGTCCCTGGTTCTAGATTCCTTAATCTAGAATGGGTTCTCATCTCCTACATTTAATAAGAGAATTTAATAAGAGCAGCCTGTATTTCTTTCTAGATATATCAACAGGGTTCTACAGAATATCTGGCTATGTAGATTCAATCCAGTAGTCTGACATAGAACTTTGTTCTAAGGGTTTAACATCCTGTGAAGATTTACCTTTTTATGCCAGTAGAGGGCATATGAATTCTTAGCAAACTAAATCTAGAGGCTTTAAAAGATAAAAGAATCCCTTCTAAAAATGGATAGTAATGATGTATCAAACAGATGCTTTCTATTCTTGCAATGAGGCATGCCATACTTACACATCCCAATTTGGAGCCGCTCGCAGCTGCTGTATTAACAGTGGAAACTGGAAAGAAAAGGCACAATGTATGTATTTTAGTAGGTTGACAGATATACAAACCTGAATGTAATTATATTGTGGTAGCACAGCAATATTTGGGGGAGGGGGAATCTGTTTATATGATTGACAGTTTCAGCAGAGATGTTCTAAATTGTATCTGGTTGCTGCAGTGCCCAGGGATAATAGGGGTGAAGGTCAGCGCTAGCCTTGCGCTGTTGCCTTCTGTATTTCACAGTGACTTATTCTCCATGTCTAGCAGAACAGACACTTTCAGAAGTCAATGTACACATGACCAGGGAGACTCAATAAAGACAGATGAACTGATGGGAAGAAAGTCTCCTGTCTGCTGGATCAGTGATCCTGTATCAAACCAGTTCCAGGAGGGCAGAGCCTCTCAGCAAAATTATATTTAACTCTAAATGAGAATTACATTCAATAGGATCACAACAGGGAAATGAAAATTATCATGTGAATGCAGTGCTTGCTTGAGTGAAGCACATTATTGGGAGAAAGATTGGAGGCAGCTTCTACATTCATCTTTGCCTTTCCTAAACTGAGAGTGCTTAATGTCTACATTGGGTTCCAAAAATGCAAACATAGGAGGGAGGTGAATCATGAAACACTAGATCAAGGATTTTACCTATACTATAATAATATAATAATAATCCTTGTATTTGATATAGCGCTTTATCACGGTGTCAAGACATTTCAAAGGGCTACATGAGATATACTGTAAGGTGGTATCACTGTGTTTTGTGGGAGAATGCAGCAGCCAATTTGTCCACAGCAATGTCCCACAAACAACTATGGAGTGAGTGACTAATTTTATTTGTGGGATTGTTAGCCAGGAAACCAGGAGAACCTCCTTTCTCCAGTAATTACTTCTTTCTCCCACCCAGTGTTATTGCCATCATCACAGTACTGAATGGAGTGATGTATTTTTCCACAGGGATATGAGAGAAAAGAAAAAGCATAAAGAGAAAGAATAAAAAATGATGCTCATAATTCTTTACCAGTTTTGGTGTCAAAAAAGGCCATTAACCAGGATACTAATTTGAAAAATTAAATGCATGTCCCATGTGAAAATAAACTGCTCATTTGAATCAGAATACCAATATGCTCTACTTCACATGAAACGCAACTATTCATCCATATACATCAAATGTACAACAAAATGCTAAGTGCTTGTTTCATATGTTCATTGCAATAATTCTTCAGTAAACCTTGGTCTTCTAAGTCTACTTTTATTCAGGGTACGTATGCAATGGGTGTAATTTTTTAAAAATAGAATGTAAGATCACCCTTTTCAGAATGCCATTGGAACGTCTGGTATCTATACAGCCGGTTTCTGGCACAAGAGAGTTTGTTACTTACCAGCTGTGAGTCCATTAGCTTTGTAGCAACCTCCTTGTGGCTGACCACAGTACACAGATAGCATAGCAAGTTCAACTTCACTCGAGGTGCCCCTGAAGTCTTCTCTCCAGAAACAACCAGCAAGCACAGCTGCTGCACAAAAGCATTCCAATCCTGTTCCTTTAAAGATGTCAATTTGTCAGCTGTAATTTAACAAGCAACAAGTTCACCATTAACTTCACCCTTCGTAATGTAAAGAATGTAACCCCATACTGTACATCAAAATTATTCTTCAGTTTTGAAGAACGACCACCCACAAGCAAACTAGAACTCTGCAGCCAGACACTAACCAATCCTTAGTAACTGTTGAGTCAATTTTGGATGACTTCATGTCTGTTTGTGAGCCCTTCTTATTTGCAAAGTATCTCCCGCGTTTGGCTACAAATATCAACTACAAGATGGAATATAATATCTCCATAGCATTCCACCAGGTAACGTGAAAAAAGCAAAAGATGGGTAGTCCCAGGTGTTAAATGTGTGACCATGTGAAAAACTCAACTTTTTTTTAGCTACGAAGAAGGTACAGCACATCACAAATCCTGAACTGTATTAAATTCACCAGAATTTAAGCTCCACTTCTCTATCTTCTCGCTTCACTCAGCTGGCTCTGGCCTCCCCTATATCCTTCGTCCTCTCTGTGCTTTCAGTCCTTATATCCCAAGACTCTGGAACTTTCTGCCTCAATCCCCATACCTTGCCCCACCCTCTTCGACCATGCCTATGGCCCCTCCCCTCTCTCCCTGGCATTGGTGTCAAGCTCCACCACTTTTCTGAGAGGCTACACAGCATGAAGGGCACTATATGAATGCAACTTGTCATTATTCATATTAGGCAATAAAGTATTTCTCTCCAATATAGCAAAAAAAATTGTTAATCTAGGTATATTTAGGTGAAACATAACCCAAAGCATTAAAAGTGAGGATGAGGATCTTGAACTCGATCCCCTGGGGGATGAGGAGCCAGTGGAGTCGGGCGAGGGTGGGAGTGATGGGGTGATTAACTTGCAATTTGACTTTTTTTTGTTAAAATTAATAAATTGTCAATAATTACCATGCAGGTTGTTGTGAATGACAAATAAGTACATTTTGGATTTGACACCTATACTATTAAACATCTCCAAAAGCTTTACATGTCATTGCTATCAAATGTAGTGGCTGTATTTGTAGGTAAATGCAACAGCCAATATGATGGTAGGAAGTCTTATCAAAGCTGCTAGAAAAAAACATGTTATGGATGCTGAGATGACAAGTTTATGCATTTATAAATGCATTCCAAAACAACAACAAAAAATTACATTTGTATAGCGCCTTTCATGTCGGGCAAACATCCCAAGGTGCTGTAGATAGAGACAGCAGGCAACATCAAAACACAATTCCTTGCTACTCACCAATTAAGAATCATTTTAATTTGTACACTGATGGATTTTGTCTGTAAGAATGGCTTGAGGATAGTCAAGGCAGAAAAATACAACCCACAAGTACTACATGTGATAAATTCTGACCGACTGCCTGTCCAACATCAAGTCCTGGACGAGGGACAACTTTCTCCAACTCAACGTCAGCAAGACCGAGGCCCTCCCGATTGGCTCACGCCAGCGCCTCCGCACCTTGGGCGTTGGCAGCATCAGCCTCAACAGCTACACACTCAACCTCACTGAGCCAGTCAGGAACCTGGGTATCTTGTTTGACCCTGAACTGTTCTTTCTCCCCCACATCCGTGCCATGACCGGCACTGCCTACCACCACCTCCGCAACATTGCCAGACTCCGCCACTGCCTCACCCCTCAGGCTGCCGAACCCTTATCCGCACATTTGTCACATCAAGGCTCGATTACGGAAACTCCCTCTTCATCGGCCTTCCCAACTCTTCCCTTCACAAGTTGCAGATCATCCAAAATTCTGCAGCTCGTGTACTCTCGGCACCAGGCTCCGTGACCTCATCACTCCCACCCTCACCCGACTCCATTGGCTTCCCATCCCTCAGTGAATCGAATTTGAAATCCTCGTCCTCACTTTCAAGGCCATCCATGGCCTTGCCCCCTCCTACCTCTCTGACCTGCTGACTCCCTACCAACCTGCGCGCTCCCTCAGTTCAGCGGGCTCCGGCCTGCTCCATGTCTCCCACCTGACCCACCCTACCTCGGTGCCCGGGCTTTCAGCCTCTCTGCCCCCATACTCTGGAACTCCATCCCACAGTCCCTTCGCCTCGCTTCCTCCCTTGCCTCCTTCAAGGCCGGTCTCAAGACCCTTCTCTTCGATCTTGCCTTGGGTCGCCGTCCCACCTCTCTGTCTTCCTGCGCCCCTACACCACCCCTCCCCCATGCTCGGGCCCTGACATCTGACTGTTCAGCGCTTTGGGACATCCTCACGATGTGAAAGGCGCTCTATAACTGTAATTTTGCTGTTGTTGTTGCATGTGCCAATAACATAAGGTTATAGTATAAACTGAAATTGGATTTATTGATGGAATCGCTAACACTTATCTGAATAGATTGGAATATTTGGCATTTCAGCATTAAACTTCATGGGCTTGGGTATCTGCTCTAATAACAAAGCTCCTATCTTATCATGTACATTTTCTTATGGCATCGCTCAGATTTCAGATGACAAGTTCTAAAATACTTATGCAAGAGGAGATGCTCCCCATCTCCCAAAACCCCTGATAAAACAGTTTTGCACATTTGTCAATTGTTCTCATTTCATGGAATTTGAGCTCAAGCTGACAGTGGAGGACTGAAAGGGCACGGTATTGTCGAAGGTGTTGTCTTTCAGATGAGATACTAAATTGAGATCCCAACTGCCTGTTTAGGTGGACATCATAAATCCTATAAAATTGTTCAAAGAATTATGGTCAATAATCCACCAGATAAATTATCTATTTACTTCCTAGCCGTTTGTCAGACTTTACATGTGAAAGATGGCTGCTGTGATTGGCTACAAATATGAGGGATGAATGGATATAAGTATCAATAAAGAGCTTTTCTCTCCGGAGATGAGACTGTTTCGACCTGATAGAGATGTTTAAAATTATCAAAGAATTTGATAAGGTGGATGTTAAAAGGCTGTTTCTACTTGTTGATGAATCCAAAACAAATAGCCAATAACAGATCTAAAAGGGAGTTAGGAGGAACCTCTTTATTCATACAGTGGTGAGAATAGGGAACAAACTGCCAGAAGCAATGATTTAAAGCACAAAGCATCAATGGATTTAAGAGCAAACTAAATGAATACACACGGAAGAAAGAGGTAGAGGCGAATGAAAGAGGGAATAGGAGAGGTGAAGGTTCATGTGGAGTAGGAATATCAGCATTGAATGATTCATTTCCTTGCTGTCTATTTATAATACAACAACTACTAATCATAAACCTTGCATTTGATCTAGCGCCATTGAGATGTCTCAAAGGGCTACACAAGATTTTACTGTAAAGTGTAGTGACTGTGTATTTATAGGCAAACTAAACTTTATTCTAGGTAGAACTATATAAAATAAAACACCTCTGGTTCCTCGAAAATTCATAGAAAAATATATTACTCAACCTTGAACCAACACTTAACTCAAATAGGATAGTACAGTACTAAAGTGTATAGCGAAAGGGATTGGTATTAAACACCCGCCAAGCTCTAATAAACTTGTGGAACAGTCTAAATGGCTGAAATGCCTCCTCCTGTTTTCCTATGCTCATCAGTACTGATTAAATGAAGACCCCAGTGATCCAATAGTCACTTGTTTCACTCATACAAAAAGTGTAATTAAATAGTCATTTCAGACAGGCAGACAAACAAAAGCAGCTCCACAAAATTGGCTCAAGAACACGTCCTGTTTAATTACAGTTAATGATATAAGGCTAAACACTGAAGTTACCAACCAATTTCTTCTAATTATACTAACATACAAAACTATTTCACGCACAGTTGGCAAATTGTTCTGACATGTTTGATTAGTGTTTCTTAATACGATTAAATGAAGAAGGTGCAAAGCTTTGTAAATCCTGCATTAGCTTGTTAAATGCATTTGTCAATTAAATACTTAGCTCTTAGACACGGCAAAAGTGAAATGCGTTAATCCAGGAACACATTGTTACCCTTTTCACTGCAATAAAACTACAAACACAGAACACTATATGTTATTCACTTATAATTTAACTTTGTTTTGTAGTAAAGAATGAAATATCACTAATTATCATATAACTTATTGTGAACAACAAATAAATAAGCCTTGTATTTAATTCAGCACATAGAACATTGAAATATTTCAATGAATTTCACACATCATTTCTGTTAAGTGTAGTGACTGTATTAGAAGTGCAGTAGCCAATATGATGGTAGGAACTCTTATCTTAAAAAAACATTGTGCAAATGCTGAAGGTACAAGTTAGCACTTATAAATGGATCTTGAAAGCACAGACGGAAAGAGCAGGCAACATCATAACACAATGTTTTGGTTCTCACCAATTAAAAATCATTTCAATTTATACACTGATGGATTTTACCCATAATAATGACCCAAGGACAGTCAACAGAAGAATACACTAAAAATGAAGATATTGCATCTGCCAAAATGATTGGATTGATAGCATAAACTGAAATTGGATTCATTAATGGAATCTAACACTTACCTGAATAAGCTGGAACATTTAGCGTTTTAGAGTCAAACTTCAAGGGCATCTGCTTCAGTATCTGCAAATCAGACACATGGAGAAATACATTTAACAGCACAGTACATAGAAATAAAACTTAACATAAGATAGAATGGAATGCAAATTAGCCTAGAAACTGCAGTTTCTTTGGAAGTTTAACTAAGCTCAATATTTCGAGTACGCTTTCAAATTGCAGACACAAATTAAAAATAAAAGAGCTATCTAAATGCTGGCATAACTACTATTTTGGCTTTTAGATTTCAAGATTTCAGACAGATACAATAAAATTCACTTTTATATAATGCTTTTTAGGTATTGCTAACATGGTGTACTATTATTTTATTGATATATAAAATGATAATAATTACATGATAAACATTATAAAATTAGTTGATATATGTTGTACAGTACCTGTCAATCAATTTCTTCCCTGAATGCAGACTTGTGGCTCTATTTACCCCCCACCCCACTCACTGCTTCTCACCCATACATATGGTGTACATAAAACCTGAAACCAAATCAACAGTGGAACTCACGATGACCCAATCAATAAAATAAAGCACAGAAGCCTTGAAAATGCACCTAGTTGTCTCTCGTATTTTCCTCCTTCTTTGGTTTTGAAACCAACAACCCTAGCCAAGAGGGCTGGGGGCTACACTGTACACTGGCCTCCACTAATGTCACTCTGAAGCTGGTTTTAAGATGAGCAATTTAGAACAAGAGGCACTTTTCCCTTCTGTCTTGTTTGTTAACAAATATATGCCGTGCACTTTTCCCTACATTTCTCTACCTATTCGATTGTACACAAGCACTTTTATTGGTTACATATTTTTCTTGTAGCTTAATTACCCTCAAACAATCACAGAGAAATAAATACACTAGAAAATTACAGCTAAATATAGTAAAATTGACAGTCAAATATAGGAAAAACACACAGAAACCTAGTAACAAGGTACATGTTTGGATGTTTCTCATCTTAAAATCCCATTTTTTAAAAAAAAAATGTTTCATTATGTCGGAGAAGACCAGTGAGGCCCAGCCAAAATAAAAATAATCCTACACTAAATCTCTCATAAACTGTAATGGACTTATTCCCCAATATTTAACAAATATTTTTGTTATGTCAACTATATTATCAGGGCTCAGTTTATCCATCTATACCCTTTAGAATCTTGAATATTCCAATAATGATAAGTTTCTGTCCTCAACAATTCCTAAAATAAACACATATTTTCTAGAATTCAAACCTACTTTTTGAATAGCATTTCGTAGCTTGACTACAAAGCAAGTACATTTTTTGTGAAACCAATTTTCCATTACCTTGGGATTGTCCACAATAGGGGTCACTGTAAGATCAGCATCAGTGTATATAAGGCCTTTGATTTGTGAGTCTATATCCTGTTGATTGGTAAACAATGCTTCAAGCTGCAAAAGAGCAAAATGTTCTAGAACATAAAGGTTTCAAAGGGATAATCTTCCAATGACACAATTTCTCCACAATAAAGTGCAGATGACCAACAAACCTAATTTGAAAGCCCAGTTAAAAAAAAGTGGAAAAAACAGCTTCCCAATTAAGAATGAAGCGTAAGGATGTTCCAAATTACTGTACAATCTTAAATTTTAAAACAATGGTCTTAAGATAATAATAATAATCCTAATAATAATCCTTGCATTTGATATAGCGCTTTTCACGTCGGGAGGACGTCCCAAAGCGCTTCACAGAACACACTGTAAAGTGAATTGACTGTATATTTGTGGGCGAACGCGGCAGCCAATTGCGCACAGCAATGTCCCACAAACAGTCGTGGATTGAAAATGACCAATTTATTATTGTTTTTAGTTTTGGAGGGATTATTATTAGGCGTGTGGAGTAAGGAAACTTGCCCAAGGTTTCGCCCTGCCTGGAATTGAACTCAGGTCTCTAGCTTGCAAAGCGAGTGCTCAACCACTGAGCTACAGGACTCCAAGATGAAGATCATAAGAAATTTCAAAACTCTGGGATTCAACTGCAAAAATCAATTACAGGAGAGTGAAAGCACAAAGGATCTGTGAAACATGTTCTATATCCAACATGTCAGGTAAAGGAATTTCTTGTGCATACAGTCCAGCCCCATTATAACGCACTTCACTGTTGCATGAATTCCCTTATAATGCAGTTGAAATATGTACACTATTAATGGCGCAGGGATGCCAACTGGCTTTTCATACTAAAATAGCCATCTTCCAGCTCATTGGCTCCACGCCACTTCTCACACATTTAGAAGACCCAGAATTTGGAAAATGGTTGAATTCAGTCTTAACTGTAAAGCCAGTTTGCTTATGGAATAGAACTTGCAGAATCTCCAGCTTCAAAATTATGGTTGTATTTAAGAATTTTCAATGGGTGAAGACCTAAAAGCCTGGAGAGATGCAATTATCCAAACAAAAAGGTTGAAGAGTATGAAAAAAACTTATCGTGGTCATTGGCAATGGTTCAGACTCAACTGCAATGTATTTAAAGCTGGTAAGGGAGCAAATTGTATACAGCTGGAACGAAGCAGAAAAGCAGAAACCTGATAACACTTGAACTTTATTACCAGCACAGTTAAATAATCGTGACAATACGTCTCCTGGTTTCAGCTATAAAGAATATCTAACCAAGCAAGGGAGAAAAGAGGGGAGACAACACTCTTGCCTTGAGTTGTTCATCTGCTGCTCACATTTATTGTACTTTTTCTTTGAGCCACAAGAGTGCAGAAGAGAACTGTCAGACAGCTACATCTCTGTGATATATACAGTATGTGGTTTGTACTATCAGTTCAATTGAAGCTAAACAATTCTTGAAACTAGCCCTCTTATTGAAGCATCATCTATGGGAAAATGAGGCAAGAAATTCCATAATATCTAATAAAGCAGCATAAACAAATATCCTAATATTAGACAAAGCAAATATTATTAATTTACAAATCGATTTTAAATAAAATCCCCAGAAATATCTTACTCACAGACGAGACATTCTTAGTTGTAAACAAATACATTGCAGGGGATGATAGGCACGCCAGTATGGCATAGCCGTTGAAAGAAAGATTTATAGAAGTACGGTATTGTTGATCAGCATGTGAGATTTTGCTAGACTGTAATATTTTCACACATTAAGGAACCTACATACCACAAGTATTCTGCTTTCAACCCCATGGTGTCAACTATTTTCCAACCGAGAGAAAACAGTTATGGCTCAGAGTTTCTGATGGCAAATGACATTAACTACCAATACTCATCACTTTACCCTCCTAGTTTTTCATTTCTCATTTGGTTTTTATTATTGTAACTCACCTGATACTACTTTTCTAATCAATTCAACTGTGGCCCAATTTCATTTTGCCCCCTTCGCTCCCTACACTAAATACTTAATTACCTATCTACTTCCATCTCTCACAGATTCTTCTTATTTCAGCATTAATCCATTTCTTCAAATTCTGTTTATTTCCCTTATTATCTAGTCTAAAAATAAAAAAGTAACTGCCACAAATAAATCGTCTAAAGATGCACAATTTTTCATCTTCATGGTCTTACTCTACCTTACCTCTGTGACCTTCTAAAACTCTACCAACATGCCCATTTCTCTGCTCGGCAGGCACTGACCTGCTTCATGTCTCCTGTCCAGCATTGGCAGTCAGGCCTTAAGACTATCTGCTCTAACTCTCTGGAACTTCATCCCAGAGTCCCTTTGCCTCATCCTTCCCTTGCCTCCTTCAAAGTCTGTCTCAAGACACTTCCCACTTTGACACCATCTTCAATCAACCCACCTGCCCTCCTGGATTTTTTTTTAAAAAGCTTATGCCGTGTTTTTAACTGTAAGGCCAATTTATCCTGAAACTATCAAATACAAAAAATTGATCAGTAACAAACAAACAAACAAACAAGGCATTTGAAATGGTGCACTTTAATATACCTGCGGTAAAGTGGAGCCTTTCAATGGAGAATTCGGAACTGGATCGGCAACTATATTGTTCTTGTTTAAAGTAGAGCTTGATCTTGGTGATGGATGGGAGCTGTTCCAGATAGAAGAAGTATGAGCTGCATCTGTTTCTACATATCCTCTTACATAATTTTTGACCAAAGCCCAAAAGGTGCTTAGAATAGCTATAACATATCAAAGAAAAAGGACTGATGGCAAAACACAGTATCACACAATCTTAATGGCAATAAAATGTTCTGGCTGTTTAATAAAAAACAATCATTTACATTTATGTAATGCCTTGCATGTTGGGAGGACATCTTAAAGTGCTTCACACAGCTGGCTCAGAGCCCAAGAGGGGGTGTGTTGCCAAAAACACGATGAAAAAGATAGCCCTTAAGGTGGATTTTGAAATGTGGAGGGATGGGATAAGTCCAAGGGACCCCAGAATGGGGAGCAGAAGAATAATAATCCTTATATTTGATACAGCATCTTTCATGTTGGTAGGGGGTTTCAAAGCGCTTCACAGTAGATACTGTAAAGTGACATGACGGTGTGTATTTTGTGGGTGAACACATCAGCCAATAAAGTCCTCACCTTTAAGGCCATCCATGGCCTCGTCCCCTCCTACTTCTCTAACCTGCTGACTCCCTACCCACCTGCCCGCTCCCTCCGTTCATCGGTCTCCATGTCTCGCGCCCAACCCGCCCCTACCATCAGTGGCCGAGCTTTCAGCCTCTCTGCCCCCACACTCTGGAACTCCATCCCACGGTCCCTTCGCCTCGCTTCCTCCCTTGCCTCCTTCAAAGCCGGTCTCAAGACCCTTCTCTTCGATCATGCCTTCAGTCGCCCTCCCACCTCTGGAGAATTGTTGGCCAAGACACTGGGAGAAACTCCCTTCTCTCTTCGAATAGTGACATTGACCTTTAACAACCACCTGATCCAATAAGGGAAAATCAGGTAGGGAACATGAAGTAGTAGGGTTGCAGAAAGTCACAGAGGTAGGCTAGGATGAGAAATTGGAGGTTTTGAACATAGAACATAATATAACAATGGTTACTCTCAGTGTAATGCTGTGTATTTAAGGTGCACTTTCTACACACACACCTGAGTAGGAAGATGGATTCTTTGGAATTTATGTCAAGTGCACTCTTCGGCCTTAAATCAGCTGGATTTTCTGTAATATGGAATCAGAACCGATTAATCCTGATCTATAATATAATGATTAAAAGATCATATAAAAAAGTGTGAGAGCTGCCAGAATACCTGCCACCCCTGATAACGTCCACCCGAGGCCATGCTGATGGAGCATCTGTACTAGAGAGTTAGCTCAGACTACTTCACTATATTCTTAGAAATATTATGAAGATTGCAATTCCAATTGTCAAGTCAGTCAATGAATGAATGTATTTTAGAAAAAAACATTATATTTGTTAGAGCTACTTCACTAATGGACTCATTAAAAATAAGCACATTTATTATTATTATCGTCATCCTAATTGCACAAAACAGTCTTTTTGAAATGCTCATGGAAAGCAGTACAAAGCATGTCAACTCTGTGTAAAAAGATAATAGTTAAAAAGGGTATAATTATTTGGAGGTTTAAAATACATTTTTGGTCATTGTTCACTGATATCAAGATATGCTCTTCCTGTGAATTCAATATTGTTATTGGTGCAGTTTTTTTTTGGCCTCAGTATCAAATTGATTTTGCTGTTGCCCTTTTAGAATTGCCTGTGCTGTACACTAGCTGAGAGAACAGGCTGATGGCCTGTGCTCAAATACGCGCCATTGCCATTCTTTACCCTGCTGCCTAGAAATGAACAAAAGTTACTCCACTTAGTACTCTTTTCATTCCTTTTTTTTTCAAAATGTATCACCTATTCAGAATCAGCCTCCATCATCTTGGATGGCTGTTGAATGCATGAAAATTTAAAAGTGAACTGCATGGATGCTTGACTAAAATCAAATCAAAAGTATAGGGAAAAAGCAATGATTCTAAGATCCATTCATTATCTCACCTTTGAACATTTACAAACATTAATAATAAATTATAATAATGATAATTATTATAATAAATTAAATAGAAGCAGTACTTCTGAGTGTATTATTACCTATTTTGTATGATTTTGGTTGCCGATTGCTCTCAAGATGAACACTTGATGCTTGTATGCTTTCCTTTCCACCAGGCTCTCCCAGCTCACCAATGTTGAAGGATGAAACATTTTCATTCTTTTCATTGTTACTAACAAGAAAAATTAAATCAGGTACAAAGTGTATCTCTATATGAGTCATGGACAACCTTTTTGGTCAACTAATAATCATAGAAAAAACAAAATAGCATAGATTTATGCCATGAATCAAAAATATTCAATCAAAAAACATTTATTTTGCTGGTCAACCAAAGTGGGTGGCCATTATTGCTCTCTAATTGCTGGGGTTTTAAAAGACCTGCATAGACTCAGCTAACATTTGTTAATCTGCAGCTGCCTGTAAATAAAAGCTCATGTTACATCAGTCAGTCAACAGTGCAATCATAAGACTGGAAAATTCAACATTTCATGACAGATTGGATAATTATTTTCTTTCCCACCTTCCCCAACCTGTCCCATTCTGCCACCACCATCATAATGGTTTGGCCAGAAGATTTCTCTCTTCTGTTGCTTCTTCTGATCATGGAGAACGATAATCATTCTATTTGAATGGAGAATAGAGTTTAAATGCAGCTAGAAGTCCCACAAACAACCATCTGGGGATTGTTGGCCCAGACACATTTGAGGTTTTCACATTGGGATTAACTCCTGCTTTCTATATAATTACACACTATGGAGAAATACATGTAACTTTTCTATATGTAAGATGTAGAATGATAAAATCTGATTTTAAAGTATACACGAAAAACATGGACCTGCAAAATACTACAAAAGGAAGATCCCTTAGTACTGAATAGAGTTAATGTAATTCATTCATCTATGAACCTATTAAAAATATATGTGCCATCTTTTCATTAACTTGAATACTAATTGTGTGATGTGTGATGCATAGTTTCCTGGTGAATTTTAACACATGGTTCATTCACCAAAAATAGAATTGTGCAACACGAATTCATGAATGAAGAAATGAAACTTATTATGTGAATACATTGTGCATTGACAGGGACTTCATTAAATAGATACTCAATCTTGATGCAATAAAAAGGAAACCATATGAAAAAAAGGCCCAAGGCGCAAACAATAAGAGAAGCTATTAGCTCTGACACAAGGCCCTGATTATTTTTTGCTGTAAATTAGATATTTTGGAAGTAGCAATATTTGCAATCCATGATAATGGGTAGTTCAAATTAAAAACCCAAGCAATGTTAATAAAAGAGGGATTTGTTAAAAAAAAAATTGGGAATGCAGTGTTTCATGCAAGTGGCTATTCTTTAAATGCAGCCTAAATGTAAGCAATTCAACCACAGGGTTACATGTGAGTCATACACAGCATTCATACAACATACATGTCCAGGAGGACATCAATTAGATTTTGATATAGAACAGACTCCCACAGTAGTTTTTCTCTTTTAGCCTAATGCTTTGAAGCTAATGGCTGGATTCCAACTGCCATCCTAATTAAGGTTTGATAACTCACCACAGACCAAAAAGAATACATTTTGGACTGACCTGGCGCATTGTTAGAGCACACAGCTTACCACATTTACTGAATGAGCCAAGAGAAGCTATTTTTAAAAATATATATCAGTTAATGAATTAATCTAAGATTACATAATATAAATATATATATGTAATAATAATAATAATCCTCACATTTAATATAGCGCTTTTCATGTCTTCTAGATGTCTCAAAGCGCTTCACAGAATATACTGTAAAGTGAATTGACTGTATATTTGTGGGCGTAACATGGCAGCCAATTGCGCACAGCAGTGTCCCACAAACAGTCGTAGATTTAAAATGACCAATTTATTATTGTTTTTACTTTTATACGGCATCGACGGGGCTCCTCTGCTGGGCAGGAATGGAATTCTGGTTATCCCTGGACACCTCTTAAACCAGACAAAATGCCTGTCCCCAATGTGTCCGGCTTAACCAGCTTCACATATACACATACACATACATATATATAATAATAATCCTTGCATTTTCTATAGCGCCTATCACATATAACTGGGAGGGGAGGGATTTGAGGCAGCAGGTGATGAACTTCATCTGGTTGATTGTGGTTGAGAGGGAGGAGGGAGAAATGGGGGCAAAGGAGTGTAAGGAGGGGGGAGTGGCAGCAGCCGTTGCAGAGGGAGAAGGAAGTGTGGATGGTCTGGGTGGCGTGGAAAGTGACATGGGAGGGGAGGACGATGCAGCCAAGCAGATGTTTTCACCTACACGTAGAAATTTCAGAGACACTTAATAATAATAATCCTTGCATTTGATATAGCGCTTTTCACGTCGGGAGGACGTCCCAAAGCGCTTCACAGAACATACTGTAAAGTGAATTGACTGTATATTTGTGGGCGAACGCGGCAGCCAATTGCGCACAGCAATGTCCCACAAACAGTCGTAGATTTAAAACGACCAATTTATAATAATAATAATAATAATCCTTGCATTTGATATAGCGCTTTTCACGTCGGGAGGATGTCCCAAAGCGCTTCACAGAACATACTGTAAAGTGAATTGACTGTATAGTTGTGGGCGAACGCGGCAGCCAATTGCGCACAGCAATGTCCCACAAACAGTCGTAGATTTAAAATGACCAATTTATTATTGTTTTTGGTTTTGGAGGGATTATTATTAGGTGTGTGGCGTAAGGAAACTTGCCCAAGGTTTCGCCCTCTGCCTGGAATTGAACTCAGGTCTCGCGCTTGCAAAGCGAGTGCTTTAACCACTGAGCTACAGGACTCCACTTATTGGAATGGAATACACACTCTCTTCCTGGAGGGTCTATCCTGCTTACCTAATTCTGGAAAGCAATAGGAGCAGGGTGACAAGATATTGCAGATCCGCCTGGCTCAGGAACCGGACTACTGAGACCGCAAAAGAGGGCTGGATCGATTTTGATATTCCATTGCCAGGCATGTCACCTTGGAGCCAGTTCAGCCTGAAGGCCCCACTTACTCTCTCATCCTCAACCCCCGGAAGATTGCTGTGCACAAATTAACTGTTGCAATCACCCTCAAAATACAGTCACTACACTTGACACTTAATCGTGTTAAGTGTTTGGAGACGTTTTAGTAATGTGTTAAGTGCTATATCAAATGCAAATATTATTATACAGATATACATAAAAATTAGAAACAGATCTGTAGAACACAAAGAAAAACCTTTAGGTAATAAATGTATCACATTTTCTGTAAAGAATGCAAGCCATTGTCCCATTTTTGCTTATGAAGAACTATCTTTGAAGTGAATGTCTGCTCTTGTCTACTGCTTATCTAATCAGAGCATAAAGGGATTATTGAAGAACAGCTGTGAATAATACTAATAATCTTATGACCTTGGCTCAGTTCCAAGAGTCAGAAGCCTATCATGGACAGAATGGCAGTCAGTTTATAAAAAGTTTCAGAAAGAAAAGTATTCAGGCACACTTGCTTAAATCTATTGTTTTCTGCTAAATTCTGGTTGACTCAACAACAGTTCTGTCTGTGCCCCTGCGAATTATGTCAGTTTCCAGCAGCAACTCATCATTCTGGCATTCAGATGAACTCGAAAATACAAAGGATGAATTAAAATTCCCGGCCCTGAACCGCGCAGTTCTTTTAACAAGCATTGTTTTACACATACAGAATTAAATTGTATCGGTGCCTCATTGAAGTCATTTCCTTTTCATGTTGGTATTTAACATTAGAGGAAGAGGGAATGTCAGGAATGTTTGTTTCCAGCAAAATACCACATCCTTAATGATAACTATTGTAGCTTTAATCTTTAATCTGGCAATAACAACGCTGTCAGGAAAAGTTTTCAAACTCGATGGATTTTTAAGAAAACACTGAAATGGAAATAAAGCTTTGAACATAAATTTAAAAGGTTGCAAACACATTTTTTAATGAAACGTGAAGGAACCATTTTATTATTATAAATAAAATCTTTCATTTAAATTCCATTAATTTGTGAATTATAAGCCAAAATGTAACGATACTTATCTTGTAATGATAACCTGTGCCCATAATTATTGAAATAATCAAAAAAGCACATTTTTGGGAAAGTACTGTCAATTTGCTTAGCAACAGGGAAAACTCTATTGTAAAGTTTGCTTAGCAACACAGAATGGTATATTATCCTGGCAACGCTAAAGGGCATGTTATGACAACAGAGCCTGAGTAAGCCCACAGACTTCACTGAGTGTGCGACTGCAGTGCAGCTTACAATAACCCTTCTTTGACTCACCATCCTCTGCATCTGAGAACAATTGAAAAACAGATAGCAACTCTTACATGACACAACTTTTTAAATCAATAGCACAAGCTAAACTGCCAAGTAAGGAATACACTTTTCTCCTCAATCAAAACGTCTCCATCATTTAGCATTCCATCAAGTAAACACATTGGAATCGGGTCAACTCATTGAGGCAGTCTGCAGTCGTCCAAGTTCCTGAGCCATTCGGGTCAGCAGCTGGAATGGCTGGACTTGGAAGGGCAAACTAATGGGAGCAATGCGAGCCGGGATTAATCTCACTCTGTTCCTGTTAACCCTGCAAGACAAAATCCTTTCAGGCAGGGTGATTCCAGCTGGACAAGCAGCAGGAAGCTTGCCAGACAATGCTCTCGATATAATAATAATAATCCTTGTATCTGATATAGCGCTTTTCACGTCTTCTAGAAGTCTCAAAGTGCTTCACAGAATATGCTGTAAAGTGAATTGACTATATATTTGTGGCCAAAACACGGCAGCCAATTGCTCGATGGCAAGCTATGCTGTTTCAGCCGGTTAAATTCCAGCAGTACCCTCTGGTACCTGCCTAAACAACAACCCTCCCCACTCCAGCAAAAAAAGTAACTGTAAGACACTACACTACAAAATACTCAGCACATTTAAATAAATCTTATAACACACCCAATTACTGTAGCTTTATTTTCTCATTCAAAACATTGATCGTATAACTGGGAAGAATATTGTCATTTACACCTGGCCTCTACTGTTCTCTTCACAGAAATGCACCTGGTTACCATGTCAGACATTACTTCCTTATTTTCAACCTCAATTAAGCATTGACAAGAAACAAAACGTTCCAGAAATACTATGATGTGGAACGATTCATAAATTTGAAGTTATATATCCTGGTATTGGATAATTGTGGGAAACTACAATACTATAACACACAGACGTTGTGGATTCATAAAATCCCTGTCAGGTGTGTGATCAGCATTTCTCACTGTTTCTCACAGTGGAGTCCAGTAGCTCAGTGGTTAGAGCACTCGCTTTGCAAGCGAGAGACCTGAGTTCAATTCTAGGCAGGGCGAAACCTTGGGCAAGTTTCCTTACTCCACACACCTAATAATAATCCCTCCAAAACAAAAAAAACAATAATAAATTGGTCATTTTCAATCTACGACTGTTTGTGGGACATTGCTGTGCGCAATTGGCTGCCACGTTCGCCCACAAATATACACTCAATTCACTTTACAGTGTGTTCTGTGAAGCGCTTTGGGACGTCCTCCCAACGTGAAAAGTGCTATATCAAATGCAAGGATTATTATTATTAGTATTTTACGTATAGAGAGCCAGCTAGCATCCTGCACTAAAAATGACCAACTTCTGAGCTATGAGCTCAACCTATAGAAAAGTGCGTCCACAATTTTCCTGCAGAATCTGCTATAAACACCCACCTCCGCTTCAAACCTGTGAATAATAATAATCCTTGCACTTTATATAGTGCCTTATCACGTCTTTGAGACATCTCAAAGCACTTCACAGAATATACTGTAAAGTGAATTACCTGTATATTTTGTGGGCGAAACGCAGTGAAAATGCAGTGTTAGGGGTCTGCGTGCTGCTGCCGGCTGTTTATTCAACTCTACTACTACTTCTGTTTGACCGAGCCTTCAGCTCCCCTCTCGACTCTCTTCCCCCTCCTCGCTCCCTCCCTTCCCTCCCCTCACCCTGACCATTTCCCCCCTCCTCGCTCTCTCCCCTCCCCTGACCATTTCCCCCCTGCTCGGGTCATGACCCAACTGTGCAGCGCCTTGGGACGTCCTCCTGACGTGAAAGGCGCTTTATAAATGGAATCTTGTTGTTGTTGTTGTTGTTGTGGGCAGAGCGGCTCAACCGGGAAATGGGCTTCGCTCATCCGAAGGCCCCGCTGTTATCTGTGTGTTTCCCTCTCTTCTGTATGTGTATGCCTGTCTGTGAATGTCTCTATGTGAGTGTGTATGTCTCTATCTAATCTCTCCTGTGTGTGTTTTTTGGGAGTGTCTCTATGTAAGTATGTGTGTGTGTGTCTCTCTCTATGTCTGTGAGTATGTGTCTTTCTGTGTCTGTGGGTGTCTCCCTCTGTTCGCGAGTGTGTCTCTCTCTGTGTCTTTGAGTATGTGTCTTCGTGTCTGTGGGTGTGTCTCTCTGTGAGTGTATCTCTCTGTCTGTGATTGTGTGTCTATGAATTTGTGTGTCTCTCTCTATGTGTTCAGTGGTGGCCCCAAGAGGCAGGAGATGGTGACCTCCTGGAGCCCTGTGGTCAGGACACTGGCGAGCAATGTTGAGTGTTTGTAGGATCTCCACCAGCTATTCTGCGCTGGTGTTTCCACCCTCCCTCCCCAACGCCCGAGTGGGCCACACAGTTTGTTAAAGAAAGCATTAATAATTTTTCTTAATAATGTCAAATTTCCCCGCAATTTTTGGCAAATATTTTTGCAATTTTCTACTGGTCATTTCCTGTGCACACAACGCAAGAACAATTATTTGCATTTATATAGTGCCTGTCACATCATGCCGGGAGGAGCCCTGAGATGCTGGACACTCAAGGGTTTGCACAATACATAACCAAATCTACTAGCAAAACCAGATTAGGTTGTATATGGGCACTTGCTGCACACATATATAGTCATTGTATATGCAGAGCACAAGAGGTCAGCTGCAGGTTTACAGGGCGCCAACTTTATAAGTAAATCTGCAGTATAATTAACTGTTAATAGCAGTTCAGTGGATTGTGTATGATGAATAGGCAATACCTCTGCAGCTGTAATTGGTTCTGAGAAGCTTAAGAAAGCACATAGAATCACATTCCTTTCTCCCTTACAAATTGAACAAATCTGAATAATAATAAGGGCCACAATGTATTTCATCCTCTACAGAATCTGAAAAGAACTCCACACTTTGCACTTTGACAGGCAGCATTTATAGAATTATGGTACCACGGTATTCACTGAATATGAAGTTATTCTTCACATCCGGGACAAATTATTTTACAAATAAAATTCTTGTTTCCCTGATGAACTTTTCTTTGTTGGGTAAAAAATCTGGAACTTGCTGCCTGAAGCAAGGTTTAGAGCTTTGGCTTGCAGGTTAGCATGAACTGAGTGGGAAGAATCCACGCTCCCCAGTGACCAGTCTACCGCCCCAAGTCCTTCCAATCAGGCAGGTTGGCTAGTCTGTTCATTAGTAATGCCTGAACTGTGTTCGTCCAAGAGCAAAGTTTATATTAAAAATAGTATTGTTCCGGTTCCTGATCATTGAACCTGCTCGATTTCACATGTGCAATCAGCAGACAAGGATAGAATGGAGCTAGCTGCAATTTCCTTGTCATACATCAACAACAACAATAAAATTACATTTGTATAGTGCCTTTCATGACGGGAGGATGTCCGAAGGCGCTGGTCAGTCAGTGTTTCGGCTCCGAGCTGGGGGTCGGGATTGGGGAGGGTGCAGGGCAGGGGAGGAAGGAGGGTGATCGAAAGCAAAGTCGAAGAGGATGGTCTTGAGATGGATCTTGAAGGAGGCAAGGGAAGGGGCGAAGCAGAGGGACTGCTGGATGGAGTTCAAGAGGGTGGGTGCAGAGTGGTGCCCCCAATGGTGGGGCGGGCAAGGCGGGGGAAGTGAAGCAGCCTATAGCCCGCTGAGTGAAAGGAGCAGGCAGGATGGTAGGGATTTAGGAGTTTTCAGAGGTAGGGGGGGGAGCAAGGCCTGTAGGGTGCGGTAGAGGACACAGGCTGCAGAGTTCTGGATGATCTGCGGCTATGGTGGGAGGAGTTGGGGAGGCCGACAAACAAGGAGTTTGCATAGTCAAGTCTCGATGTTATGCAAGTGTGTATGAGGGTTTCGGTGGCCTGCGGTGTGAGAAAGTGGCGGAGACGAGCAATGTTGCGGAGGTAGAGAAAGGCAGAGCGGGTCATGGCACGGATGTGGGGTAGAAAGGTTAGTTGAGGGTCAAACAAGATGCCAAGGTTCCGGACTGACTTAGTAAGGTGGAGTGTGCAACCATGGATGGTGATGCTGTCAGAGCATGAGGTGAGGAGGTGCTGACGGAGCCAATCAGGAGAGTCTCGGACTTGTTGACGTTCAACTGAAAAAGTTAAAAAGTTAACTCTTATCCAGGATTTGATGTCTGACAGACATTCTGTCAAGACAGCAGTGGTCCTGGAGTCAAGGGTGGAAGCAGAAAAGTATAGTTTGGGGTCATCCGCATACATGTGGAAGTTGATCCCATGTCTGCGGATGATGACACCAAGAGGGAGCATATAGATATTGAAGAAGAGGGGACCAAGGACAGGGCCCTAAAGAATGCTGCACAAGACGGTCCGAGAAGCTAGAGGAGAAATCATTTGTGGAGATGAAGTGGAGGTGGTGTGAGAGGTACGATCTGAAACATTCAAGGACAGAACTGTGAAGGTTGATGTGAGAGGAAAAGTGGTGGATGAGGATAGAGTGGTCAATGGTGTCGAAGGCAGCAGAGAGGTCAAGGAGGACGAGGAGACAGAGGGAGCCCTGTTCGCAGATGGACAGAATGTCATTTGTCACTTTAACCAGGGCTGTTTCTGTGCTGTGGCCGACATGAAAACCTGATTGGAGGGATTCGTGGAGGGAGTGGTGGGAGAGGAAGGAGCGAAGCAACGAATCGTTCCAGAACCTTGGAGAGGAAAGGGAGGTTGGAGAAGGGGCGGCAGTTTGAGGGCAGTGATGGGTTCAGGGAGAGTTTTTTAAGGATAGGAGTGATAACTGTCATTTTTAAGGGGTGGGAATGGTACCAGTGGACAGGGAGAGGTTTATGATGTCTGTGAGTAGACGGGCAAGGAGGTGGAGCTGGGAGATAAGGAGAGGGGTAGGGATGGGGTTGAGGGAGCAGGTGGTTTGTTTCATGATATAGTCAAACAAACAGTTTCATGAAATGTTATAGTGAAACAACCTACTAACATTCAACAATTACTTGCATTTACATGATGCCCTCCACACAGGATAGAGTCTCAGAGCGCTGTACAAGGATAGGACCCCATCCCAAGAAGAAGAGGGAGGTGACCATAGGTGTAGTCTAGCCCCACATGTTAAGATTAGTGATGTGCATAAGTGCTTGGCGTACGGAACCACAATCCTCATTAATCATCAATTTTAGCAGATTATGAGAGAAAAAAAGTAAAGAATTTATTTCCAATGTGGGTGGGGGAGGGGGGAGGAAACATAGACCAGTGATGTAAGGAGTCACATTAGAAATCTTTGTATATTCAACCAGTTTTGTTGATGCATCTAATCTCTTATTATATATAACCTGTATTGTGAATTTGCTCCTTTTTTTCAACGGTAATGTTTTCATGAGGTGCTTGCATAATAATGTTAAAATAATATTGTCCTCCTTTACTGACCTTGAGTTATTGCTGTTATTATCATCACTGGCGATCACTTCATTTCCGGCAAATGCACCTTTCCAGAAAGGATGCTGCAGAAGGCCTTTCCAGTCCAGTCTTTCAAATGAAATACAAAATCTCAGTTAATTATCAAACACAAATATCAATTTGAAATATACAAATTTCACAAATCCGTATCATTTGAACACTCAATAAAAGTAATAATTTAATCTTGAAATTATTTATTTCTAAAACATATCAACAATAAACATGGGAAAGGGAGCCACTAAGTATAAAATGCTCATCCAGTGCTGCACTTTAACCGAGTGGGACTGGTTGGAATCACCGGCAGGTCTGAAAAGTCTGCCCTGTTAAACTAAATACAGCTGATCTGGGAGATGCTCTGACTGAACTGTTTTCAACAAGGATACAAATCCACACAATTTTAACTTTATCAGAGATGATTCTTTGCTGAGAAACAATTTAGCAATTTGTCCTCTTTTTTAAAAAAAATTCAGACAATTCATTTTGGCACATGAGTGAGCCCTTGCAAATTTAAAATTATAAACAGTTTATAGTCTGGGTTGCTGTTCATTAATATTCAGAAGAAATTGCTCTCGTTTAATATTGCATGCAGTAATCCTATTAAATTGCATTTATTAAAGTCAATATGGATTGGAACGCAAATCTGACTTCTTCGTCTGAAAATATGTTGACATGGTAACTGTAGAATACTTTAGAAGATTCACATCCTGCAGTAAACTGTTGCCCTCAACCAAACAGATCCCACTTCCCTCTATGCTGGTAATTTTTTTGTTCTTGCCTCAGAAAATATTTGAAAAAGATATGTTTGTAGGTCGTATTATTCAAGCAAAAGTAATTTTAATAATTATTATTAAAAGTAATTTTGCATAAAAGCATTGAAGACCTCAGAGTATACAAAATGTTACTCTAGTAAAAAAAAATCCAATTTAACAATGAAAGAAAGGTCAAAAAGCCCAGATATATTGCAAAGTTCTTAAACAGATACTGCCCCTAAGGTCATTTTCTCTTGTGGGATGAACAATTGCTTTTTCTTTCAGGTCATTGAATCAATAAAGAAGAACATTACCACAATTATACCATCCTATATCATCCATATGGATAATTAATAGTAAAATATGCTGCATTGCTCTACTGTCATCTGAGCTTAAATTAAATTGGTGTCCAGAATCTGATCTGGCCCTGGAAAGATTGAACAGATTCCAGAATCAATACAACAAACAATATCAACAATTTCATCTTTTTCTTTGATTATCTCAAGTGTAGAAATTATTTGAAGAAAGATGCTAGCCCTGGTAAGAAAGGAAGGGCACGGTCAGTATAAAATAGTGTAATCAACATATATGCAAACTAGTCAAGTTGCTATTTCTGAAATCACCAGTGAAGTCAGGAAAGAGTGAGTTCAGAAAAAATAATTATATTGGTTGGCAGATAAGGCCATGCTGCAGTTGAAGGTAAATCATGTGAAATGTTGTGGTGTTATTTTGTTTTGTTTGCTTAAATATTGGTAAACATTACGTTAATGTCTACACATATTTACAAGTATCCCTTTATTAGGGAAACAGCATCACTTAATACATCTGGAAATCAATCCCAAACAAACCCCTAAAAATATGCAAGATTGAATTCAGCAGTATGCTAAGCGGTCACAGATTGTTTTAGGCAAAGGTCCAAGGTAAAGGAAGACAATTTGTTTTAAAATACACACACAAACATTCTGTAATCATGTTCAAAAATGTGTTGCAATAATATCCTCAGATTGCCAGCACGAACTAGAAGTTAGATTTGCGAAGAGTTTTGAGATGCCTCTCGACATGAAAGGTGCTATAAAATGTAAGCAGTGGTTGTTGTTTAGGAAGAGAATTTTCCCAAAAATCTGTTGCATATAAAAATTTGAGATTTCTCAAAAACTTTAACTCTTTTACCTTTTTGAGGGGTCTTTCTGAAGCAGGCTTTGAATTAGACTGAGAAACTCAAGAGGTTTAATTGTGCCAGCTGAACCTGGAAGATACAACAAATTGGTGAAAGATTGCATCAATTGGTCCATACTGTCGACTACAATTTCTACCATTGAATTTTCAGCAAGGCCGACCAATGACATTTGGATCATGAAAGGGATTTTTTTTCTTTACTAGTAATTGTATCAGTAAATCTGATATTCCCCCAAAAATCTGCGATACAAGATCTGATGACTGAGCTATACGGAAATCCATCCAGAAACATTCCCTGAAAGAAACACTTAAAAGAAATAGAAATACAAATTGTCCTTTCAGTCATCCTTCAAAACACATGATACTTCACATGCCAGAAAAAAATATGCCTAATCTAAGTTAGGGAAAACAAAGTTTCTTTTAATACTGAAATTCCTTTAAAACTGCAATGAAAACCACATGAATCTTTCCTGAATTTAAGAATAATAATCCTTATGTTTGGAATAGCATTTTTCACATCAGGAGGATATCCCAAAGTACTTCAGAGACTGTGAAGTTGTTTTGTGGGCAAATGTGGCAGCCAATTTTGTGCACAACAATGTCCCAAAACGCCCATGTAAAGTGAATGGCTAATTTTATCTGGGGAATTGTTGGCCACGCGAACCGTGAAGAACTCCCTTCTCTTTTCAAATAATGCCATAAGATCTTTACTATCCACCTGAACAAGTAGACAAGGCCTCAGTTTAACAGCTTTCCTGAAGAATGGCATTTCCAACAATCCAGCAAACCACAGCACTACAGTAGAGTGTCATTTTAGATTATACAAGTTTCAGTTCTGAGGTGGGGCTAAAACCCACAATCCTCTGACTCAGAGGCAAAAGTGCTTCCAACTGATCCTGCCTTTTAACTGTTTACTGACCATAGAAGGCGCTCACCATGAGCTGTAAGAGACCTGTTTTTTTTACTCTTATTAAAAGAAAAGGAATCTTAATGAAGTTAAAAAGTTATCATCAAATTGAACCACATTTTATATTCTAAAAACACATACTGGAGTCTCATTTGAAATACAGGGGTATTTTCAGGAGGAGAAATGCTAATTTGTGCCGATTTCTTGAACTGAATGGTTGTATTGGGTCCAGTGATTTATAAAAGCAAAAAGGCTGTAGAGCAAAACTGCCAGCTAGCATTGTTCGCACTTGGCATCTTTCACAAATCACTGACCCCAAACTGACCTTTCAGAACCACCGAAAATTAGCACAATCATTTTTGCTGACGCTTTTTTGTGTCAACTGTCTGACACATGCAGAAACCCATCACCATGCTTGAGTATCCAAACCAAACTGAGAATTCCATGTATCTCACCTATACATGGAAATCCCAGAGATAGATTGTTGGAATGCAATGTGGGCTCTCTCCCTGGAGGACACATCCTGCTTACCGAATTCTCTGGAAAGTATTAGGCGCAGGTTGGCAAGATCCAAGGCTTTGGGACCCCAGAGTGTGCGTTGGAGTCTAACCACAACAACAACAACAACAACAAGATTCCATTTATAGAGCGCCTTTCACGTCAGGAGGACGTCCCAAGGCGCTGCACAGTTGGGTCATGACCCGAGCAGGGGGGAAATGGTCAGGGTGAGGGGAGGGAAGGGAGGGAGAGAGGAGGGGGAAATGGTCAGGGTGAGGGGAGGGAAGGGAGGGAGCGAGGAGGAGGAAGAGAGTCGAGAGGGGAGCTGAAGGCACGGTCAAAGAGAAAGGTTTTGAGACCGGCCTTGAAGGAGGAAAGGGAGGAAGCAAGGCGAAGGCACTGGGGGATGGAGTTCCAGAGCCTCGGGGCTGAGAGGCTGAAGGCCCGACCACCGATAGTAGGGCGGTTGGGGCGGGGGACGTGGAGCAGACCGGAGCCAGAGGAACGGAGGGTACGGGCAGGTAGGTAGGGGGATAGTAGGTTGGAGAGGTAGGAGGGAGCAAGGCCGTGAATGGCCTTGTAGGTGAGGATGAGGATCTTGAAATCAATCCTCTGGGGGATGGGGAGCCAGTGGAGGCGAGCGAGGGTGGGAGTGATGTGGTCCCGAAGCCTGGTGCGGGACAGTACACGAGCTGCAGAGTTCTGAATGACCTGCAGCTTGTGGAGGGAGGTGGCGGGAAGGCCGGCGAGGAGAGAGTTCCCATAGTCCAGCCTTGAGGTGACAAAGGCGTGAACCAGGGTTTCAGCAGCGTGAGGGGTGAGGTAGTGCCGTAATCTGGCGATATTCCGGAGGTGATGGAAGGCGGTGCCAGTTGTGGTGCGGATGTGAGGGAGAAAGGACAGCTCAGGGTCGAACAAAACGCCGAGGTTCCTGACTGGCTTTGAGAGGTGGAGAGTGCAGCCTTGGATGCTGATGGTGTCAGCGCCTGAGGTGCGGAGGCGCTGACGTGAGCCAATCAGGAGGGCCTCGGTTTTTTGCACGTTGAGCTGAAGAAAGTTGTCTCTCGTCCAGGACTCGATGTCGGACAGGCAGGCTGTCAGGACATCGGTGGTCGTGGAGTTGAGAGTAGAGGAGGAAAGGTAGAGTTGGGTGTCATCCGCATACATGTGGAAGTTAACCCCATGTTTGCGGATGATGTCACCAAGGGGGAGCATATAGAGGGTGAAGAGGAGGGGACCGAGGACAGAGCCCTGAGGGACACCACATGAGACAGTACGGGGGGTGGAGGAGAAGCCATTCGTTGAGACGAAGTGAAGACGGTGGGAAAGGTAAGAGCTAAACCATTCAAGGACAGTGCCTTGAAGGTTGAGGTGGGAGGACAAGCGGTGGAGTAGGATAGCGTGGTCGACCGTATCGAATGCTGCCGATAGGTCGAGGAGGACGAGGAGACAGAGGGAGCCCTGGTCACAGATGGTCAGGATGTCATTGGTGACCTTGACCAGGGCAGTTTCTGTGCTATGAGCAGCACGGAAACCTGACTGAAGGGGTTCAAAAAGAGAATGGGTGGAGAGGAAAGAGCGCAGTTGGGAGGCGACAACTCTTTCCAAGACCTTGGAGAGAAAGGGGAGGTTGGAGATGGGCCGGTAGCTTGATAGCTGCGACGCATCAAGGGAGGGTTTTTTCAGGGTGGGCGTGATGATGGCAGTTTTTAATGGAATGGGGACAGAGCCAGAGGAGAGGGACAGGTTTATGATGTCAGTGATGTGTGGGGCAAGAAAATGGAGCTGGGAGATAAGGAGTGGAGTGGGGATGGGGTCAAGGGAGCAGGTGGTTGGTTTTAGGGATAGGATGAGTTCAGTGACAGAGGGTGGGGAAACGGGTACGAAGGTGTGTAGGGGAGGATGGGTAGGAGTCGGAGTGTGGGAGGGAAGGGGTGGGTGGTGGGTGGAAGTTGGAGGGGAAGTGACCGCGGAGCGGATTCCCTTGATCTTGGAGATCTTAACCAGCTGAAACTGCATAGTTTGCCATTGATAGCACAGTCCGGCAAGCTTTCCTGTGGCTTGCCCAGTTAGGACCATCCTGTCCAATGGGCTTTTGCTTGCAGGAATAACAGGAGTTGAGTGGGATGATTCTCTACCCCACTGACTGGTCTGGCCCCTCCACGTGCTGCTGACCCTGTCATCAACAGTGCCTTTTCTTAAGTGGAGTATAATGATGGAAAATAATAATTTATTGATTCTCTCAATATCCTGGAAAACCACTGTACCTTTGGCCTTGGGTGGCGGTGGATCTTCATGCAAAATCTTCTCACGTAATTCAGAGAGGTTTTCTGCAAAAAATGGCGGTTTTCCTGAATGAACAACAAAGCAACATTAAAATAAAGTTATTTTTTTTTTCTAAATTTAAACTATTCTTTCTAGTGAGCATTTATACTATATAGTGGGCAATAGTTAGTGGCTTGCAATAATACCAATTGCTTTTAAATCGTGAATCTGAAAGGAATCTACCAGCTTTTTATTGATGACCAACAATATGAGTCGAAATCCAAACTTTGAAAAGCATGCTCCACTGAACTAGTCTTACTGGAACCTCAGAAGTATAGACTTGCTGAAGTGTGATACTGTCTGATTACAACCATCTGTCAGAAATGACTTTGACCATCACATGTATGTTATATTTGATGGAGAATTTTGAGATCTGTATTAACAGGCTTTACAGACAGAGACAAAAGATGCAAGTAAAAGGAAATATAATGCTGCAGAACTCAAAAATTTTCAGATGTTAATTTTGAAAGGAAGGTGCCACAATGCAATCTATAAATACCGGGAAATTAAGAAAATCTTTATTTTTGGATCCTAGATTTATTTTGTGCAGTTTGGATTACTACGAGAAGTTCATGAAAAGTGAACAATTAAATTAAACAATTAAATTAAATTAAACAATGAGATACACAATAGGAATAAAACATACATAACAATATTATACTAAAAGTAATTATAATCATTCTTGCATTTGATATAGTATCTTATCACATCGTCAAGATGTTTCAAAGTGCCTTGCAGGATATATTGCAAAGTGGTGTGACTATGTGTATTTTATGAGCAAACGCCACAGGCAATGTCCCACAAACAGCCATGGAATAAACGGCCAATTGTTGGCAAGGACATTGGGAGAAATTCCTTTCTCATTTCATTATTACTATGGGTTCTTTGACATCCATCTGGAGAGGCAGACAGGACTTTGGTTTATTGACTCATCCAAAGGATAGCACCTCTGACAATGCAGCACACCCCCAGCACTGCACTGGAGTGTCAGCCAAGACTATATGAGTTTCAAGTTCCGTTGTGGGTTTGAAGCCTTCCAATTGAGCCAAGTTGTCACACAATAGCAGTATAGAAATTTTAATTGAGGCACCTCCTTATAATTGTCTTAAGAGTAGCAATAGCAGAAACCTGAGAACAGTTTAATTACCTATCCTTCTTTGCTAGGTGGACAGAAATCTTTCATTGAAAATACAATTATCAATCTATCACATGAACACCATTCATTCTCACTCAAAGAAAAATGAGAAGCTGCTAGTTCTTTGGCAAAGTTATACACTGACAGATGCTCACAATCAAATGTTTCAAGTGGTCATGGTGATAGAGGAAAATAATTAGGAAATGAATGCTTTTAACACCAACCTGCAGACATCTCATACAGGACACAACCCAAAGACCAAAAATCGCTGGCCTTAGAAAAATCTTCACCCTTCAAAATTTCTGGAGCCATGTACATTAAAGACCCTAATGGAAAGTGTGTATCAAGTGAAGAATAAACATAAACAAATCAATTAACAGATTAATAAAGAATCATGCCAAGTTCAGTTTTAGTTTCTATAACTGCTATTAATATTTTTAACATAGCTTTCAGAAAAAGTAGAAGAAACAAATATACCATCTATATTTCATTTTTTTCTCATGCAATTTTGACCAGAATTCTAATGCCCACTTTTTGTTATTTGGCCTTCTGAGTATAATGGATTTAAACAGAATTTAAACATTACAAAATTTGAAAGTACATTTCTAATAAATTATAATTTATTAAATAAATAAAATAAATGAAATCCAAAACAGATTCCATATTTATTAATGAAATATTAATGAAATATTTTCAAAGATCTATATGATTGAATGAGCGTAATTTTGTATTGAATTGTATGTCATGTTTCAATGTGAAGGAACCTCTAGAACACTCTTCCTATATTCTTCCGCCTTGTCACCTCTTTACTAGTCTTCAGATCGCATTTGAAGACATTCCTCTTCAATTGTCACCCAAACTTTCTCTCTGACTCAGTCAAACAATGCCATTCACAGAATATGCAGCTCAGAAACAGGCCATTTGGCCCATAATAATAATCCTTGTATTTGATATAACGCTTTTCCACTTTTCAAGTTTCGAAGCGCTTCACAAAATATACTGTAAAGTAAATTCACTGTATATTTGTGCAAAACGCAGCAGCCAATTGCGCACAGCAGTGTCCCACAAACAGTCATGGACTGAAATGACCAATTTATTATTCTTTTTTTATTGAGGGATATCAAGCATGTGGAATAAGGAAACTTGCCCAAGGTTTCGCCCTGTCAGGAATCAAACCCAGGTCTCATCCAGTCTGGCCGGTGTATACACACCATTGTTCAGCACTCTGAGACAGTACCCTATTTGAAGGGTATTATATAAATGCAAGTTGTTGTTGTGAAATCTCTCTGTCTATACTGAAGCTCGAATGGCCCACATCCCATATTATGCTCCTCAACAATCTTCACCCTATCCCCATTTCATATCATATTCTCCAGGTCTCTTCTCAGATCTCGTTTCGAAGCCTTTAGCTAATTCCCATCATAATCTTTTATTCATGCAATTTTCATCAGCTTTTTCTTCTCTCTCATTCCCTTTTGAAACATAGCAAATTAACAAAGTGCTATATTCAATTACATTATTAAGTATTTACGTTTTCTCCATTTTGAAAACTCTGAACTTGTTTTGCCCAGCTGGGGAGGAGGGCAACATTTTCCAGGAACTGGAAGAAATTTGCTTTCAGAGTTTTTTCATTGATATTTTTAAATCAAAGACTTTTTTTTCTTGGCAGAATTAAGATTCTACTTTACCACCTTCAATTTAAAGCATGCTGGACTAACTGCTGACATTCACTCAGTTTATCTTAATGGGTCTGTAATCTGTGCATTTCTTTCCCACAGTACTTTATACAGCATTATAACACATGCATGTTGCACTAATGTGAAAATAAATAAATTTCACATTATACCCCATGGTCATATAGAAATCTAATTAATAAGGCATCATGTATACCTCGAGCCCGGCTTTTAGTGTTTCTTCTTTGCGTATTTTCATTGATCTCCTCTGTTCCTTCCTCTGTACCAATCAGAGAAAGGAATTCCTCCAGATTCTCTCCTTCTGTTTTTGCCAGACTGAAGTTACTGTACTTCAGAGTGCCAGGTCCATCCAACAATATCTATATGATCAGGTTATAAGAAATGACACAAAACTAATTGTGGTGGATTTCAAATGTTCATTGGTAAAGAGCTAAAAGCACTTCACCCAACTTTCTCTCCACAGACAATGCAATTCACATTGACCAAGAAGAACCAAAGAAATATATTCAAAGGAAAGGAAATCTTAGACACAAAAAAACTTAGGGTAGACCAAAAAGTGTAGTGCACGGAGCTGCAGTTTACAAACCAGGAACTTGCTGATTCAATTCCTGGTCCAAGCTGAGTTGGAAATCTCAGCCGGAACTACATGGAGAGGATAAATTGGTCCCAGTCTTCACAAGGTTAGGGTGGGGAAAACTATCCAGGTTTCCTGCTCTGGGTTGCTATTCTACTGGTTGTGTGCATGTGACAGTCATACATCTATAATCAAGTGGCCTGCCAACACTTGCTGAAAAGGCTCACACATGAGTATTGTCCAGTTGGATTGGGTTACTGGGTGGCAATGAGCAACGAAAATTAGAAAATAACTGGGCACAATACATTAAAAAGAAGTAAAATATACCTTGGGCAAAGAGTTGAACCAATTCAACTCAAACAAATCCATCTCAAATGATGTGTACTACAAACTTCAATCAAGAATACAAACAGGGCAAAACACACATTCATTGATCAGCGATTACAACTGAAGCCCAAGTTCTTATTTGGTACATGTAGTATATATATTTACCTTGGCAGGGTTAAGATCACAGAAGATTATGCCCAACTCATGGATGTGGCGCAAGCCTGACACCAAGTCAACACCAAACTCTCTCACAACCTCTTCATGTAAATATTCATCTTGGGTAATGACCATTTCCAAAGAACCTCCTGCAACAGACATCATATAATTGAGACTGTACATGCATTTTCACAAAACTGGAGTCAAATCAATGAGAATAACTCCAGGATAGCTGTGTTTTAATACAGTCAATGCAAAGTCAACTCTTGAAGTCTAAAGGGGTGGGGGGAGCTGAGAACAGGGTTTATTGGACCACCCAGAGGCTTTTTTACTGAAATTGAATGCCTTCAAAGGTTAATACAATACAAATTTACATTTATAGAATGCCTTCCACGTCAGAGGTCACCCCAAGGGCCTTAACAATTCTGACTGGAGACCTAAGATGGGGAGGGGTTGATTTGAATTGTTTGATCAAATGAGATCATCTGCAGATTTCACCAGGATAAACATTGTTTTCATCTCTGTGAGAATTCAAACAGGATTCAAATGATTACACAATACATTTCATTAAAGGTATTTTCCATTACTATTTAATGCAATTCTGATAATTGAAAGAACCAGCATTAAGAGTGTAAAAAGCAGCAGAATCCCAGAATGAACTCAGCTCTATATTAATCTGTCTACTACTAGTCATAGAAAATATTCCAGCGTGCTTCATGATGGGTTATGGATTGTGTGCCTTGACATCCAGCACTGACAGGTGGGAAATGTTCAAGATAAACATACAATGGGAAAACGCATAATATCAAAATTACTTATTACTTTCTAAAATAATCAAGATAATTTCAAAACTTTTCAGGGAATTCACCACTTTAGAAGAGAATTTTTTTTACAAATAAAGTCACACTTAAATCAATTGTGCAACTTTGTAAACAACATTTCAACTCTTACCTGTGCACAGTTCCACTACTAGCCACAGGTGGTTGCTAGTCTCGTACCATTCATTGAAGAATACAACATTCTGGTGTTCAATGTCATGAGTGAGCCGCACCTGTAGCACAATATATTTTACAAAAATAAGCACCTACTCCCCCATTAACAGCAAGAAAACAAACTTTTTACAAAATCTTTAATCTCTCTCCAAACATACAAAACGGCTCTTAATCCACAGCACCAGTTATTACTAAAAAATATTTTTATATATTATTCTGGTTTAGCTTGTAATGTAGTGAACCCACTTTCAGCGAAGTTTTTGAACTGCGGTTTGAAATGAACATTTGCAAATCATTTTCCACCTTCTCCTCCGTCACCTGCATTATACACCATCCCATACATATTTCACAGGATAGGCAGGCAATCTCCCTGCCAAGACTAATATCTCTCTACCAATACTAATATTTAACAGACAATTAGGTCGGCACTAAAGGCTGGGAAAAGATTCACCCTCTAAGTGTTTCTTTCACATTATTGGAAATGGGGAGAAGGATGAAACCCAATTGTGAATCAGTGGGAGAATTCACCTTGTGAAGAAAACTGACTGAAAACAATATAACCACCAGGAAAAAGGCAATAGAGGTGTATAGAATAAACCTTGCAGACATCCTTGAAGGACAGCCCAAAGCGCTTCACAGGATATACTGTAAAGTGGATTGAATGTATCTATAGGTGAACACAAAAAGTGAATTTGTACACAACAATATTCCACAAATAGCCATGGAGTGAAGGACCAATTTTACTTGGGGGAATATTGACCAGGAAACTGGGAAAAACTCTGTTCTCTTTTCGAGTAGTACTAAGGGATCTTTAACGTTCACCTGAACAAGCAGATTTCTTGACCAAGAAATATTTGATTAAGGCCGCTTCTTGACAGTACCGTGGGCACTTACAGCCATAGGTTGGCCACCACTGGTCAGACTACGAGTTCCAAGTCCCGACATGGGTCTTGAATTTATAACCTTCTGACTCAGAGTCAAGAGTGCTACAAACTGAGCCAGACAGACGCAGAAAGGGGGTTAGGTGGAGGGGATTAGGTTGGTGGAGGCTCATGTGGAGTATAGACCAAAAGTTGTTATTATTGTTGTTGTGAATACTGGGACAGATGAATTGGGTTGAATAGTTTCAACATGCACAGTTTATGTAGGTTGTATATTTTTGGTAAGCAGAGTGTCTGACAAACACAAACACCCATCAACCTGCCTTAGTGTATGCAAACCAGACTAAGAGTTTGTGCGTACTACCTAAACATGGAAATTCCCATATCTGGAATAGATTGCTCATTCTCTCGCTAGATGTACACACCTGACTTACCTATTTCTGGAGCACACTGGGCGCAGGTTGGCAGGTGCCAAGGTTTGGGGACCCCAGAGAGTGTGTTGGTATATACGGCCAGAGTTTAACTAGACAAAGTCACATAGCTGGCCACTGAAAGCACTGTCTGGCAAACTTCCTGCTGCTCTTGCAGCTAAGGCTGCCCTATCATTTAGGGCTTTGGCTTGCAGGATAAATAGAAATTGAGTAGGAAAATTCCTGGCTAGCAGGGACTGATGAGTTACAATGGCTCGTCTGTCATCAGTGCCCTGGAGCACTATGGACTCGCCGAGCTCAGGGAGCAGACAGAGGATCAACTCGATTGCAACATTCTGTTGGCAAACATGGAGTCAAATCAGTATGTGTGCAAAACATGTGTGTTATGTGCATCCAAAGAGACCCCGCTTAAAGGTCCACCGCAACCCCCACCCCCGAGAATAGTCACTAGTTGGTCATTTGACAAGCACAGGTTTGAGCCCTCAAAGGCAGGTTCCAGCAACTGCCTGCGTGCTTCTCAATCAACAGCACAACTCAGTATGTAGTGTGCCACCATCTTCCTGCCCACAATTCTGACACACATCCCTATCCATTGAGCGATGGTATTACCAGTTGGAGATGTGGAACTTGAGCCGTAGCTGCTTAGTTTTCTGCATACCAATAAGAACATAAGAACATAATAATTAGGAGCAGGAGTAGGCCATTCAGCCCTTCGTGCCTGCTCCGCCATTCAATAAGATCATGGCTGATCTTCTCACCTAACTCTGATTACCTGCCCTATCCCCATATCCCCTAATCCCTCTATTTTTCAAGAATCTATCAGTCTCAGCCTTGAAAATGTTCAAGGACCGAGCATCTACAGCCTTCTGGGGTAGTGAATTCCATAAGTTCACTACCCTCTGAGTGAAGAAATGTTTCCTCAACTCTGTTCTAAGAGGCTGACCCTTAATTTTAAGACTGTGACCCCTGGTTATAGATTCTCCTACCAGGGGAAATAGACCCTCAGTGTCTACTTTATCCAGCCCTTTAAGAATCTTATAAGTTTCAATAAGATCCCCCCTAATTCTTCTGTACTCTAGAGAATACAGCCCTAGTTTATTCAGCCTATCCTCATAGGTCAGTCCCCTCATCCCAGGAACTAACCGAGTGAATCAAGGTGGAATTCCAAGCACTGGTTATATAAACGTGTTCATGAACCCAATGAGCTTGTGATCAATGCTCAAGAATTAGAAATCTAGAGTCCTGACCGGAAGTCTTTCTAGATTGTTTGCAATAAACATATGCATCATACAATTAAACAGCAAAGTTTAATAGATATTAGAATGTGAACAAGTGATTAACATCTTTAAATAAGAATTTTGAATTTTATATAAAAACTCATATTTTATCTGTGATAGTATCCTTCCTTCATTCCTCTCTTCTATTGCAAGCTATATTTCTCCCCACATTCAATTCCTTCCTCTGCATTCCAGTAAACTCCACATCTAATTTTCTGGCCAAAGACCAAACCCAGACAATGTCAATGCCTTCATGTAACCATCCATTGGAAGATATGGAGAGGGCAATTTCAATTCTGGCTTCTTTTCATTCCCTGTTAGTGAGATACAATACCCATGATACACTCAGTAACTGCTCATCGATACACAGTCAAAACTGAAAATTCATCACTTATAACAACTCCACCGCCCCCAACACTCTTTGCTTTTTTTAGAAACATTGCCTGATGAGTTCATGATTTTTTNCCCTGTTATCTTATGAGTTTTGAGCCCTTGTGTATTGTTGGCAATACTATATTGTTTTGGAAAGGGGCACTGTTGAATAATGCAGGAGATCATTCTGGAACATGGGTATTAAATTAGAAAAGTTAAACAATAGTGCTACTACAATAATAGATATAATGGAATTGCATCAAATCATTAAAATACTGTACTGAGCTTCTGAATCACCTAAGGGCAAAGGCATTGACTGATGAAGCACAAGACCATTTAGACCTTTGGTAGGAAAAAACATTTGTCTACCAGCAATAAAAGGTTTGGGAACACTCAATGTTCCCCTCTTGAGCCCAGGGACAAGGAGACTATATTGTTGCAACATCAAAACAGTTAAGATCAATTAACTCAACATGGGCCAGGGGTCAAATTATGGACCTTACAAATAATACATCAGAAGACTGGAAACGTTTTATAAAAAAACTATTTTCCTTCATTCATGCCACCCCTGGGACCAAAGGGACTGTCAGAGACATGCTCCTATGCTCCCAAAAGTGCACTCCTGAGCTACCCATTATGAAGTATGATAACCCAACCCTGACATGACTGCCTTCAATTTTTTCTCGCTTCCTTTTGGTGACTTTCCATGTCAGGACAGCTGTGATTGGCAACTCAATTGACTGGCAACTAATAATCTCAAGCCCATATCAACTTGCACCATGGTGCCAAGGTAGAACCTCCAGTGGCTCCATACAGCACACTGTACTATTGCTCTAAAAATCCAAACACAACTCAAGAGTTATTGCCACATTCCAGAAACATATTACTCACCCTATTAGTGATCTCCGGTCTTTTGGATTTGTCAATGCAGAGAATAGCCACAAAATTGATAGTTCCTTTTCTTCTGCCTTTATAAACTATAGATTTATTTCCCTTTCCAATTTCTTCATATAGGACAAAATTTTCCATTTTACATATGTGCTCTGTAATAAGAAAACATTTATATTTACATATACACACATAGACATGCTCCTTCAAGAAGAACGAATACAATAATTACTTGAATTTATATAGCACTATTTCATGCAGGATGGAACTGCCTTCGTCCAGCTCCGCCACATCGCCCTCTCATGCCTTCAGGCTCTCCCCCTTTCCAGCTCAGTGTCAAGCTATACTGCTGTTAAGTGCTCCAAGACACTACCCGGGTGAAGAGCGCTATATAAATGCAAGTTGTTATAGTAAGATATATCTTGGGGCGCTAAAACTGGAGCAAATGTAAATTTATTTTGAAAAAGAAAACCTTGGCCAATTTTAGCTTGATAACAGTGTGACAAACAGAGATAATTTCTTAATTATTTTAATTAAAAATTAAATTATTGGCTGCTCGTCCTCTCTTAGGACCAGGAGGTGATAAGTCAACATCAAATTTTACCATTCTGATTGTTTGCCCCAGTTGATATCAGTTAACTCACTACAGCACATGGTTGTGGTGAACACCAACTTCAGCATGGACACTGTCCTGAAGGACAACAACAATAATAATAATCCTAATAATCCTTGCATTTGATATAGCGCTTTTCACGTCAGGAGGACATCCCAAAGCGCTTCACAGAACACACTGTAAAGTGAATTGACTGTATATTTGTGGGCGAACGCGGCAGCCAATTGCGCACAGCAATGTCCCACAAACAGTCGTAGATTGAAAATGACCAATTTAATTATTGTTTTTAGTTTTTTTGGAGGGATTATTATTAGGCGTGTGGAGTAAGGAAACTTGCCCAAGGTTTCGCCCTGCCTGGAATTGAACTTGGGTCTCTCGCTTGCAAAGCGAGTGCTCTAACCACTGAGCTACAGGACTCCACTTAGAAGATTCCAGGGCTGAGAAGGGGCAAAGTGCACCCTGCTCATGCTCAACCTTCTTCAAGGACAGCGAGGTCCCAATGCAGGTCAACCTTGTGGCATACAAGACCTATGTGCAAACAGTCCTCCTTTGTGGATCTGAGCTCCTGGGGATGCAGCGGAGAGGCTTCTTCCGAGTCATCTGCAAAGTCCAGGATCAAGCAGTGAAGTGGATTTGTGGCAAACACGGGATACAGCTACAGGAGGAAGGGCTCTGGCCTACACTGATCTGTCGCTAAGCACCCTGGAGGCAGAAGCGGAGGTGGTACCACAGTGGACACGTCTGTTTGCCAAGCCCCCACTCATGAAGACCTGCGTTAAAACAGCTGGTGCTGAGAAAGCCTGGTACACTGCATTGGACCTGGACCACAAGAACATCAAGGTGGCTGGCATGCCAACAGTGGTCCTGTAAAGGTCCACCAACCATGTTGAAGGTAGATGCCCTCCAGATAGCTGATGAGGAAACTCTGAGGCTTTGAGTGACAGCGGCTGGTAGGGTGGTCCTAGCAGGACAACTACCTGGAGTCCAAGTTCATGAACACACATTCGTACATCCAGCGGCTGGAATCCATCTTGATTGGCCTGCAGAGAGGCAAGCAGCTGCTGCTTAAACTCCGAACATCCAATTGGTGGAACCGTCGCTCAATGGAAGGGACGTGTGCCCGAGCTGCGGTCAGGAAGGCGTTGGTAATGCTCCGCAGGTGAGGGGTCAAACCCGCGCTTGTCGAACAACCAACTTGTGACTCTTCTCCTTGGAAGGGGGAGGGAGGTAAGCGGGGTCTCCTTGGTGCTGAACTGACTCCAAGGTGACACGCCAGACATCTGTGGCAGTCTCGGTTGTTCAGTTCCTGAGCCAAGTGGGTCCGTAGTATTCCAGGACACTGCTGATGGCAGCGCAGCCAGCCTGGCTCAATGGCAGGAAATGGAAGGGCAGACAGTTACTTGGGTTGGGAGTCATCCCACTCAGTTCCTGCTAACCCTGCAACCCAAAGCCCTAATGGGTAGGGTGGTCCTAGCAGGACAAGAAGCGGGAAAGCTTGCTATCGGCAATATGAATGGCAAGCTATATGGTTTTAGCTGGTTAGACTCCAGCAGTACCCCACACACACTCTGGGGTCCCCAAGCCCTGGCTCCGGCCAACCTGTGCCTAATACTTTCCGGAATTAGGTAAGCAGGATGAGTCCCTCCAGAGCGAGAGTGCGCATTCCAACAATCTATCTCTGGGATTTCCATGTGTAGGTGGGACACAGGGAAATCTCAGTTTGGTTTGGATACTCTTAAGCATAGTGGTAGGTTTCCACATGTGTCAGACACCCGGCTGACCAAAAAATAAACCAGAAAATATCTCACAATGAAACCTGAAATTAAGTTTAAAAATTTGAAATATACCTAAGACTTGCATTCTCACTATTGCATTGTTGGTGCCATCTTTCAGATGAGATGTTAAACTGAGATCTGCCTGTTCAGATGGACATTAGAGATTCCACAACACTATTTGAAAGAGATTCTCCTGGTGTCCTGGCCGACAATCATCCCCAAAATAAAACTGGTCATTCACTTCATGGTTTTTAGTGGGGCATTGCTGCGTGCAAAATTGGCCCCCACAAAAATACAGTCATTCCACTTTATAGCATATCCTGTGAACTGCTTTGAGACATCCTTCCAACATGAAAGATTATTTCAAATTAAAAGCGTAGTATTTTTATGCTGTTATGGGCCCCAGTAGAATTTAAATCAATCTATTTTGACTTTTTAAATGTTGCTTAACAGACATGCATTACAGTAGCTCTTTAAGGTTATAAATCAATCATATCCATAAAGTCATCAATCCATGCGTACAAATTTGTGTGGCTAGATTACGTCATGATCACATTAATCAGTCATCATAAAATTGCTTGTCTATTGCAGATAAGTGAATGGAAACAGTCAATGAACATCTTTGCTTAAAAATGTATTTGTTGTAACTTCAAGGGATCCCAGAATTATATGCATAATTAACATTTGGAATAAAAAATTGTGGTTGAGAGCTTCACAACCGCTCAGTAACCAAAAGCATGTCATAGACCCAAGCATTTGATCCCTTTTTGTTTCAAGATATCTGATTTCAACTGGAATTGTATATGTGCTTCAAGTGGTCGAAGCATCTAGATAAAAAGAGCCATGGTTCTCTCTCTAGATCACTGCCTAAGAATCCATTCCTAAGTGTGCGTGTGAACATTGAGTAAAGGCAGGACTCGATTTGAATGAGGTATTGAAGAGCTGCCATTGTTCACAAAATCATATACCAGTCTGTCACTTTCAATACGTTTAAAATATATAGGTGAATGGATATAGTGTGAGGATGGATCATGCTCAGTTGTAATGCTTCCCACAGCTGAGTAGCTTATCAGCTTATCTGTGAAGTCCGTAGCTTAGTGATTAGAGCACTCGCCTCGCAAGCGAGAGACCTGGATTCAAATCCTGGCAGGGTGAAATGTTGAGCATGTTTCCTTACTCCACATGCCTCTGTTTACCGAACAGTGACTTGAAACCCGGTTGTTAGTTGATTGATGAATTGCTTTTCCGGGGGTAATAATTCCTTAAAAAAAATTGGTTGCCTCAATCTACGACTGTTTATGAGACACTGCTGTGCATAATTGGCTGCCGCGTTTCACCCACAAAATATACCTTCTATTCACTTTATAGTATTTTCGGTGAAGCACTTTGAGACGTCTGGAAGACATGATAAAGCGCTATATCAATGCAAAGATTATTATTATCAACATTCATTTTTCAGACTGAAATGTAAAAGAATGGCCACTTAGCCAAGCACCAGTCTAACTATATCCCAGTGCAAGTCCACAACAACAACATATTATATTTGTATAGTACCTTTCACATCGGGAGGACATCCCAAGGCACTGGACAATAAGGGATTTGGATCCCAGCACGGGATTAGGATCGGAGGGGTGAAGGGCAGGGAGAGTAGGGTAGGAGGATGGCCAAATGCGCGATCAAAGAGGAGGGTCTTGAGACATAGTTTGAAGGAGGCAAAGGATAGAGGAAGACAAAAGGAATGTGGGCTGGAGTTCCAAAGGGTGGGGGCTGGGCAGGGGACGTGGAGCAGGCCAGAGCCTGCTGAGCGGAGGGAGTGGACAGTTGATAAGGGGTTAACAGGTCACAGAGGTAGATAGGAGCAAGGAAGTGGAGGGCGTTGAAGGCGGAGATGAGATATTGAACTCTATCCTCTGGGGAATGTGGAGCCGGGCGAGGGTGGGGGTCACGGAGCCTGGTGCAAGAAAGGACATGAGCTGCAGAGTTCTGGATGATCTGCAGCTTGTTGAGAAAAGAGTTGGGAAGGACAACAAACAGGAAGTTTGCATAGTCGAGCCTAAATGTAATAAATGGGTGGATGAGAGTGCCAGGGGCCTGAGGGGAGACAGTTTAGGAGCCGGGCGATGTTGCGTAGGTAGGGGAAGGCAGAGTGGGTCATGGCACAGATGTGGAATACAAAGGACAGTCGAGGGTCAAACAAGACACCAAGGTTCCGGACTGGCTTGGCGAGGTGGAGGGTGCATCCATGGATGGTGATGCTGCCAGTGCCTGAGGTGTGGAGGCGCTGACCGGAGCCAATCAGGAGAGCCTCGGTCTTGTTGACGTTCAACTGAAGAAAGTTAGCTCTAATCCAGGACTTGATGTCTGACAGACATTCTGTCCTGGAGTCGAGGGTTGTCCTGGAGTCAAGGGAGAGTTGATATGGGTTATGATGGTAGTGAGAGAGGAGGGGGAAATGGGTTTCAAGGTGTGGAGGGAGGGATGGTTAGGGTCCAGAGTATGAGAGGTAGATGGGGAGGGGATAGCAGTTGGAAGGGCAGGGGCAGCTGAGCGGATCCGTTCGATTTTGGTCTCAAGGAAGTCCAGCATCTCCTCACAGTTCGAGTTGGAGGAGAGGATGGGTAGGCATGAGAGGGTTGATGGAGATGCCGGTTGGTAGTGGAGAAGAGGAGCATGGGGTTGTTCTTGGCCTCCAAGATTATCTTGAAGAAGAAAGACAATTTAGCGGAGGCGAGGACAGAGTGGTTTTGATGTAGTCCAGCCAGATCTGCCGATGGACCGTTAAACTAGATTGAGCCAGGAGCGTTCAGCGGCACGCATCTATGCCTTCAGGGAGCGGTGTATCAGGTGATTTGCTTGAGAAGGAGGCAGTTCAGGAGGTGAGTGGGGCAAGAGACAGTTGTGGAGGAAAGTGACCAAAATCAGAAAAGTAGAAGAAAAACTCAGCCTCATCAGTAACAGGATTTCTAATTACAGTGTAAGCATATTAGAATTTTATAACTGCATTACTTGTCAATAATCCATTGTAAACTAATTTATAGGAAACAGGGCAATACACCATTTAAACATTGTTGTTTCGAACAATCTTAAAAGCCTTCACTAAGTTACAGTTTTATACATAAGGTACCCTTTATCCTGCTGTCATAAAAAAAATCACAATCACAGTTCAGATCACAATTTAAGCACATATCTGGCAAATAACAGAACACAATATCCCACCACGAACAACAACTTCAACTGTACAGAATTTCATGGGTTTGTTTTCAACGATATTGTCAATGGCCCTGATTTCACTCTCTCGGAGGTCATGTGAATCCCTTGAAATGTTATATCCTTTATAATCGTGCACTGTAGCCTATGTATTAACCTACATGACTACCTTCTGGGGGCTGTGGAGGGGGGAACAGGGCCTCTTTCGACTCTGACTTGGTCCAAAGTTTAACATAACATGTAGGAGCAGGAGTAGGCCATTCGGCCCTTTGGCAATGGAAAGTCAGAATGCTGAGCCAGCCTGTATTCCAGGGCACTGCTAATGAACGACAGGCCAGCCGGATTCATCGGTACGACTTGGAGGAGCATCCAGGGAAACTGGTAGCAAGGGTTCTTCCTTTTCAGCTCCTATTAACCCTGTAAGTCAAGGCCGTAATGAGTAGTGTGATCCTACTGGACAATCAGCAGAAAGCTTGCCTTAACAGTTCTGGTTAAATGAGAATTTTATGAAAATGGTCCTACATGAGAATTTCCATGTATAGGTGGGACGCATGGAACTCTCAGTCTGATTTGGGGTACTCTTAAGTATGGTGATGGGTTTCCAAATGTTTCAGGCAACTGAAACCATAAAATACTGAGTGACCATAAAATAGTATTATACTCCACGAAGCTCATTCCAATTCAACTATTTTATTAAAACGTAATACGGCTACAAGAAACATTGAGCCATAATATAAAATCTGGACAAAAATCAGTATGTCAAATAGTCTCGTAATTTTCCCATTGTCCCAATTTATATTTTATACATTTATAAGAATGTAAACTAAAGACTGCTGTTTTAGAACTATATTATTACTCATCTATGGTTTTGTGCACAAATTCTCTGGTTATAATTCTGACTCCACCTACAGAGTGGGCTGTTAAAAATGAGTAGACATTGGCAAAATGGTGAGAGTTGGGTTTTGCTGAGAGTGAGTGGACTGACAGAGTGGACGGAGCTTTCAGCCAATCTGCCCCTTCTCTCAAAAGTTACTCCAACCACAAGCCGAGTAAATCCCAATTTAGAAAGACAAGAAACCTGGTTACAGATGTCAAAACGTGCCTCAACCGCATCAAAACGATAAGAAGCTGCTGGAAGTTGTTATCCAGCCTTCCTATGAACTTGTCGCAAATCCCAGACTCCCCAACACGGAGGGAATTCTTGAAAGCCGCTTGACCAAGCAACTGCGGGAAGGTATAAACGACCAGGACCTGTCGGGTCTCCTTCATCAGGGGAAGGAACAATATATATATATATATATATATATATATCCCTCTGCCGGGTCTTCTCATTGCAACCTCACACAAGAGGCCATTCTGACCATCGCGCCTGTGCCGGCTCCCCATGCACAACCAGTCATTCTTCACCACCCCCCACCTTAGCCTTCCCTCCCCCCCCCCATCCCCATCCTTCCCCCTTCCCTCCCTCCCCACTCCCTCTCATCCTCCTCCCTCCTACCCCCCCCCCCAATCTTCCCCACTCTCGCCCCTGTACCTTCCCTAACCCGCCCCCTCCCCCATTACACATCCCTCTCGAGCCAACAGGTTGGGGGGTGGGTGGGGTGGGGGGGGCGCAAAATCCTTGTTTTTTTTTAAATATTATACTTATTGTTATATTTATTCGAAAAAAAGCGACTCTGGATATTTTGTTTTAAACGCCGCGTGTTTGGGTTCTGTTTCTGCCGGAGAATGCCATGATGTGACCGCGAGCCTTTCTGTCCTGTGAGTGAGTGAGTGAGTGAGTGCGTGTGAGTGTCTCCCTCCCGCACACGGACTTGTGTTGACAATAACCGTCAGTGTGGGGGGGGGGGGGTCGCCGCGCGGCCATTACCGTCTCGCTGCTCGGCTCCCGGAAGTGCCGCTGGATCATACCATCGTCTCCGCGTGGGGAGACGCGCTCATCCCCGCGCCGCTCTCACAGGGCAGTAACCGGCACGGGCCCAGACGCCACACCACTCAGCTCGCGGCTCCCACGCCGTAAGTCACAGTCGGTTTTCTCCCACTGTGTCCGCGGTCGCGCAGGTAAGAGGATGGCGGTTTTGGATTCCCCCGCCCCCTCTCCCGCCGAAACGTTGGGGGCGATCCGCCTGTTGCGCGGCAACCGGGACGCTGCCTCAGCCGAGCTGACGTCACGCGGGGGGGGGAGGTGATGCCGTTGGGTTGGAGTGGGACGCGCGCGCCGCGCTGTCGGCTCGGCTCCGAGTCGGGAAAGGTCGTGGGTTCGGGCCCCAACGGTCAAGGACTTTGACCTCACACAGGTCAAGTGAGGCTGCGGCCTGGGGGGGGGGGGAGAGGTTGGGGGGGTAGGAGGGGAAAGGTCGGGGGAGAGAGGTTGGGAAGGAGGAGAGGTTGGGGGAGAGAGGTTGGGAAGGAGGAGAGGTTGGGGGAGAGAGGTGGGGGGGGGGAGAGGTTGGGGGAGAGATGGGGGGAGAGAGGTGGGGGGGAGAGGTGGGGGGAGAGGTTGGGGGGGTAGGAGGGGAAAGGTCGGGGGAGAGAGGTTGGGGGAGAGAGGGGGGGGAGAGGTTGGGGAGGTAGGAGGGGAAAGGTCGGGGGGAGAGAGGTTGGGAAGGGGGGGAGAGAGGTTGGGAAGGAGGAGAGGTTGGGAAGGGGGGAGAGAGGTTGGGAAGGGGGGGAGAGAGGTTGGGAAGGGGGGGAGAGAGGTTGGGAAGGAGGAGAGGTTGGGGGAGAGGTGGGGAGGAGAGGTTGGGGGAGACAGGTTGGGGGAGAGAGGTGGGGGGAGAGAGGTGGGGGGGGGAGAGAGGTTGGGAAGGAGGAGAGGTTGGGGGGGAGAGGTGGGGGAGAGAGGGGGGGGGGAGATGGTGGGGGGAGAGAGGTGGGGGGAGAGAGAGGTGGGGGGGGAGGAGGGGAGAGGTTGTGGGGGGCACCACTTCAGCTGAGTGTCAACTACAGGCAGTGTGTGGGGTTGGGGGGGGAGTTGCAGAAGGGCAGTCTGTGGCAACATTATTTGACGGCCACGACGTGGGGTTTGGCGTCAATTTGACCCTTTCCCTTTAGGTTCCTCCATTTCAAAACAATACCGAAGCTCTGTTGAAACTACCAACAGTCACCAGACGCATTGGTTTTGGGGGCATCAATGGCACCACACATCTCAATGCAAATCCATCTCCCATGTGCACGCTGAGCATTTTCTCTTGCACCCACCACACATTATTCAGCTCAGCAACGGGGCTCTTCAACTGTAATGTCTCCGTATGAAACTGTTGGTAAGCCAAAAGGTTAGTTTTCCCCAGAAAATAATTCCGATCTGACATTATTGGTAGCACAACGTTTCTGCTATTTTGCGGACTCGTGTGATGTGAAATTACTAATATGGATAATCCTAACATTTTATAGCACTTTTCACATGAAGAGAACATTTCAAAGAACTTCACAGGATATACTGCAAAGTGCAGTAGCTGCACATTTTGTAGGCAAATGTGGCTGTCAATTTGCATACAGCAATATCCTACAAACAGCCATGAAGCGAATTACCAAATTTATATGGATTTGCATTTAGATTTACTATTGACGAAGTTTAAATTTTCAAATAAAGCATGTGTATCAAAGAGTAAAGATGTATAAAATCCCTAGGGGGATTTAACAAAGATGATCTATTTTTATTAAACCATGTCTTATTTCCATAATTCTTTAAAAATATATATTAATGTTTTGGAAGATAATTACCATTCTAGCGATAGAGAAATACTTATTACTGTATCCCTTTTTTTGGTATTACTGGAGCTGGAATCACAAAACAGCACAAATAGGAAGCATAAACCATTGATCATAAACCACTGACTTAGAAGGCATTTATTCTTCCTTAATTGAGCAATATTTGTTTTCTAGTTGTCTTGTGTTACATAAGTGGTGCATTTTCCTCCAGTCTCATCCAAGTGGTCAATATTGATGAGTCCACCACTTTCCACCAGCAGTAATTTGATAGTAATGAGCAGCAGGCAATTTTTTTTCAAGCTAATCTGGAGATAAAAGGCAACTGTCACAGTTGAAATCCTGCCCAGCAGAAATCATCTGTCTATGTGGACCAGTGATGAAACCCAGGGACTTCCTAAGCTGTCACACAGTATCATTTCAGTTATTTTTTCATTTTATTTATACTAATTGAGCAAATATAAATTTCTAATTGCATTGCTAAGTGCAGAACATTGGAATCAAAGCCAGGTGTTGGACAGATGTGGAAACCCATCATCTTGCTTAGGAGTATCCAAAGAAATCGGAGTTTCATGCATCCCACCTATACATGGAGATTCCTGAGATGTTGATTGGAATAGTCTCTCTCCATGGAGGGATGCATTCTGCTTCCTTAATTCCAGAGTGTAGAGGCGCAGGTTGGCAAAGATCAAGGCTTGTGCATTGGGCTACGGCTGGAGTCTAAACAGCTAAAACTACATAGTTTGCTATTGAAAGTACTGTCTGGCAGGCTTCCTTGTCCCTAGGGTTACGTCTGTCTTTCCAAGTCCTGCCAATGAACTGTGTTAGCTGAGCAGCCACCAGCAGTGTCCTGAGTACTGCGGACCAGCCTGGCGCAGGTACTGGACATCCAAGATCACCACAGAGATTCTGACATTCCATTGCCAAACATGTCACGTTGCAGTTAGTTGAGTTCCAAGGAGACCCCCCTTCATTTCTCCTCCTCCCACCCCCTGACAGTCCTTTTCACATTTATTAACTTGAAATTTGCCTTATAGCTACAGCATATATTTGACATTATTGATGTAAAAGAGCTCAAAAACAGCAACAGTGTGAAACACACACGCGGACGCGCGCGTATGGAATAGATGCAGTCTACAGCACCATTTAATAATAACAATGCTTGCATTTGATATAGCGCCTTATCACATCATCGAGACGTCTCAAAGCGCTTCACAGGGTATACTGAAAAATGGACTGACTGCATTTTCTGGGCAAAATGTGGCAGACAGTTGCACACAGCGATGGCTCCCACACAGCCATGTGACCAATTTTATTTGGGGGGGATTTGTTGGCCAGGACAACGAGAGAAACTCCCTTCTCTTTCCGCATCATACCCACGAGATCTTTAACATCCACCAGAAGGGGGTTACCTTCTGACAAAGCAACCCACACCTCCCCCTGTGCTTCCAGGTCCCAACGTGGGGCTTGAGCCCACAACCTTCTGACTCCCGAGTGGAGAGGGCTACCAACCGACCGAGCCAAGGCTGACACACCAAAGAAACGTTTGACTTCAGCAGTGTGCACCCAATGGACTGGCAAGTGGTTAATCCTCAGTGTGAATCCCCCCCCTTCCTTCTCCTGAGGGTTTTAGCAGCTGACGTCGGTGGAGTGCAATCCCTGTGTGACAGTGAGAGGGCGAGAGAGAGAGAGAGAGAGACACACACACACACACATACACACAGAGAGAGCAGCATGGAGGAGAACCGAGGCTTGAGCACAGCAGCACCGAGCAAATAAAAGCTGCAACGAGAGAGAGAGAAAGAGAGAGAGAGAGAGAAAAAAAAAATACTCGCACCGGCAAATCCTTCTTTTTTGTTTTTAACGCAACGTTTTCTTGCTGTGCAGCAAAAGCGAGCCTTGCAGCAGTTTAAAAGAGGAAGTGCAGGGCGAGGTGCTCTCCAGGCGGATGACTGGTTTCGGAGCCGTCTCCTAACCACGCGTGGATTACATGCATCCACACCCTCTGGGTCTCTGCTGCCCGCTATTGCCCAGTCACCCGGGGAAGAAGGGGGCGGCCAGGGTGGTGGGTGGTGGTGGTGGTGGTGGTGGGTGGGTGGTGGGGGAGAGAGGGGAAACATCAAATATTTAAACGCAAGCAAAAAAAAAAAAAACCACCCCCACCCCCAAAAAAAAATTTAACTGCAACGAGTTGAATGTGAGCTGGGAAATCGGCTGCCCGGGGAGTGGGGGGGGGGAGAGGAAGAGAAGAAGAGAAGAAGAAGAGCTCCTGGACTTTTGCGGAGGACGAGAAAAGCAAGAAAGAAAAGAAAAGAAAAGAAAGAAAGCAGCCAGAAAAGTCAAGAGGACGCTCCTCCTGGTGAAGCAGCAGCTGACTGCAGCCTTCCTCTGCTGGGAAACTGGCCTCGGGAGTGCTGCTGGGGGGGGCGGGGGGGGACCGCTAAGTGAAGAAGGTCCAAGGGGCTCCAGCCCCCGGGGAGCACCGAGAACCGACCCAGCCCGGGATTATATTATCTGCAGATACAGTATTATTATTATTTTTTTTGCACGATTAGAAGAACCCCTCCCCCCGCCGCGGGCACTCGGTAAGTGTTGCTACACTGGATGCCTTTTTTTTTTGCCCTGTTTCTCGGTGTGTAGATTAACGCGACTGTCGTGCGTTTTGCGGGGGGGTTGGAACAACTGTGTGTGTGTGTACGTTGCTCTTTGAATTGTGTGTATGTGTGTGTGCATGTGTGTATGTGTGTGTATGTGTTTGTGTGTATGTGTATGTGTGTGTGTATGTGTGTGTGTGTGCATGTGTGTATGTGTGTGTGTGTGTGTGTATGTGTGTGTGTGTGTATGTGTGTGTATGTGTGTGTGTGTATGTATGTATGTATACGCAGTATCATATATATATATATATACCGAAATCTAAGATGTAGGGCTTTGCTACCAGTAACTCTCACAAGGTGACACTTGGTAAGGAGTCACTGACGCTTCCTCAGCACTAAGGTTTACCATTGGGGGTTAACCACCAGTGACAATGTTCATTAGTCATGAAACCAACGTGTTCGGATGCTCCGCTGCCCCGTGCGCCCCGCGGGCTGATGCCCCGCCAGGCGAACTGGTCAGGACCGGGTGCAGGTGAGGCGGACGGACCTGTGTGTATGTCGCTATCACTGAATGCTACCGACCGTGAAGCGGATCGATTTGCAACGCGTTGGGTCGGATGAGTAGCCCTAAGGTTGTGTCGCGCCGATGTTGATGTCAAGCGATGATGCTGCAGTTTGCAGCTTCCCTCCCCCCGGGGGGCTGTTTGCTGGTGTTCCTGTGCTGCCCCAATGGTGCCTGGTCAGGGTCAGGGGCAGG